AGAACAGGTAACAAAGGAGGGGAAGGTTGTCCTTGTATGTCAAAGAGTCGCTCATTTGTGCAGTTACTAACAGCACAAATTATGTAGTTGAAATTTTAGCAATAAAGACTGAAAACCAAAAACTAGTCATTGTAGTTGTATATAAGCCGCCAGTTAGTTTAATATCTTTATTATGCACCCCATACCCATTCTGTGGGCGGTAGTCAAAAGATTACAGAGGTACATAATGGGTCCAGGGACTGGACCCCAAAGTTATGATAGCTGAACTAGTTACAAAGGTAATGAACTCCAGATAGATCTGGTCACAATCATGGAAAGTTACAAAGGTAATGAATCAGCCTCACTCCTATACATGGTTACATTCATGAACAAATTACAAAGTAATGAGCCACTGATACGTCCACACCTGGATTACCACTTCCCATAATGTGATCCAAACCAGTAGGCTAACATCGAGGTACTTACTGCTAAGCAGACAGGGACAGCAAGTGTAGGGAAACATACCCAACTTCCCAACAGTTCAAGGAAAAGCTATTAAAAATTGATTGCTGTCTGGAAAATTTTCCAATCCCAACCTCAAATATCTTGCTGCTTGGTGATTTCAATTTAAGACATACAAAATGGAAGAATGTAACAAATAATGTTATAGCAGAGATAATCCCCGGAGGTATCTCAGATGAAAAGTCACACACTACTATTTGCTGAATCTTTGCAATAAATTTACCCTAAATTAGCAAACAGGGGAGCCAACAAGGCTGGAAAACACACTTGGCCTAGTCTTCACGAATAATGATAACCTGGTACGAAATTCAAGAGTATCAAAGACATTTAATTCAGATTACAATAGTATCAAAGTTTAGATTTGTATGCATAAGGGTCTTGACCAGCAAAATGCCTATAGTTACGAGGGTACCTTCACCATATTCAACTTTAAAAACAAGAACTTCAACTGGGATCAAATAAATTATGTCCTTAATGAAATATGCTGGAAAGATATCTTAAATAACATGGATCCCAGACAGTCTTGAAATGATCAATTCTTTAGCAGCTGAAGTATGATCAAGGCATATTCTCCTAAGAGACCATGCAAGCTGGAAAGAGAGAGATGTTTTCTCTATAGGCGAAGACGAAGAATCACTGAGCTGCTCAGGGGGGCTAGACTATATGAAATGCTGAAGAAACACTGATTCAACTTCAATAACAAGAACATAAAGTGGGACCAAGTAAACCAAGTCCTAAACGATATTAGCTGGGAAGATAGACTAAGTAACACAGACCCCAACTTATGCCTAGAACAAATTAACATGGTGGCACTCGAGTAAAGTAGAGAGACAGGCGCTCCTTTTACAGGCGACGGAAAAGAATAACAGAGCGGTTAAAAGAAGTCAATATATCTAAAATGCGTAAGGAGTCACTGGTCAGAGAAATAGCAAATATCGAACTTAAGCTATAGGAATCTTATAGGAGTCAGGAATCGCGGGAAGAACTAAAAGCCATAAATGAAATCGAAAGAAACCCAAAGTATTTCTTCTCCTATGCCAAATCAAAGTCGAGAACAACATCCAGTATTGGCCCCTACTTAAACAAGATGGGTCCTACACAGATGACAGCAAGGAAATGAGTGAGCTACTCAAGTCCCAATATGACTCAGTTTTTAGCAAACCGCTAACCAGACTGAGAGTCGAAGATCAAAATGAATTTTTTTATGAGAGAGCCACAGAATTTGGTTAACACAAGCCTATCTGATATTATCCTGACGCCAAATGACTTCGAACAGGCGATAAATGACATTCCCATGCACTCTGCCCCAGGGCCAGACTCATGGAACTCCGCGTTCATCAAGAACTGCAAGAAGCCCCTATCACGAGCTTTTACCATCCTATGGAGAGGGAGCATGGACACGGGGGTCGTCCCACAGTTACTAAAAACAACAGACATAGCCCCACTCCACAAAGGTGGCAGTAAAGAAATAGCAAAGAACTACAGACCGATAGCACTAACATCCCATATCATAAAAGTCTTTGAAAGGGTCCTAAGAAGCAAGATCACCACCCATCTAGATACCCATCAATTACACAACCCAGGGCAACATGGGTTTAGAGCAGGTCGCTCCTGTCTGTCTCAGCTACTGGATCACTACGACAAGGTCCTAGATGCACTAGAAGACAAAAAGAATGCAGATGTAATATATACAGACTTTGCAAAAGCCTTCGACAAGTGTGACCATGGCGTAAGAGCGCACAAAATGCGTGCTAAAGGAATAACAGGAAAAGTTGGTAGATGGATCTATAATTTCCTCACAAACAGAACACAAAGAGTAGTAGTCAACAGAGTAAAGTCCGAGGCAGCTACGGTGAAAAGCTCTGTTCCACAAGGCACAGTACTCGCTCCCATCTTGTTTCTCATCCTCATATCTGACATAGACAAGGATGTCAGCCACACCACCGTGTCTTCCTTTGCAGATGACACCTGAATCTGCATGACAGTGTCTTCCATAGCAGACACTGCAAGGCTCCAGGCGGACATCAACCAAATCTTTCAGTGGGCTGCAGAAAACAATATGAAGTTCATCGATGAGAAATTTCAATTACTCCGATATGGTAAACATGAGGAAATTAAAACTTCATCAGAGTACTAAACAGATTCCGGCCACAAAATAGAGCGAAACACCAACGTCAAAGACCTGGGAGTGATCATGTCGGAGGATCTCACCTTCAAGGACTATAACATTGTATCAATCCCATCTGCTAGAAAAATGACAGGATGGATAATGAGAACCTTCAAAACTAGGGATGCCAAGCCCATGATGACACTCTTCAGGTCGCTTGTTCTATCTAGGCTGGAATATTGCTGCACACTAACAGCACCTTTCAAGGCAGGTGAAATTGCTGACCTAGAAAATGTACAGAGAACCTTCACGGCGCGCATAACGGAGACAAAACACCTCAATTACTGGGAGCGCTTGAAGTTCCTGAACCGGTACTCTCTGGAACGCAGGCGGGAGAGATACATGATTATATACACCTGGGAAATCTTAGAGGGACTAGTACCGAACTTGCACACGAAAATCACTCACAACGAAAGCAAAAAGACTCGGCAGACGATGCAACGTCCCCCCAATGAAAAGCAGGGGTGTCACTAGCACGTTAAGAGACCATACAATAAGTGTCAGGGGCCCGAGACTGTTCAACTGTCTCTCAGCATACATAAGGGGGATTACCAATAGACCCCTGGCAGTCTTCAAGCAGGCACTGGACAAGCACCTAAAGTCGGTACCTGACCAGCTGGGCTGTGGCTCGTATGTTGGATTGCGTGCAGCCAGCAGTAACAGCCTGGTTGATCAGGCTCTGATCCACCAGGAGGCCTGGTCACAGACCGGGCCGCGGGGGCGTTGACCCCCGGAACTTTCTCCAGGTAAATAATTCATACAGGATTCAGGACAGACAGGATGAGCTAAAAGCAATGAATGAAATTGAAAGAAATAAAATATATTTCTTTTCATATACCAAAAAACAAAGAAAACCCACATTAGTTTCAAGTCCCAGTTCAAATAAAATGGGACTATAAGCTCCATTTTATTTGAACAGCAAGGAAATGATTGATATACTGAAGTCTCAGTATGACTGTGTTTAGCGAGCCATTAATCAGACTAAAGATTGAGAATCCAAATGAATTTTTCATGAACGAGTCTCACTACCGTGTCAATATACGTATAGCAAATTTATGACATAACTCTTAACTCCACTGGACTTTGAAAAAGTCATTAGGAACATGCCGCTGCACTCTGCCCCAGGCTCAGACTTGTGTCTTAGTGTGCTCTGGAGAGCCTGGACACGGGGTCATCCCACAGTCGCTTAATGCAACGGATATAATCTCAATCCATAAAGGTGGCAGCAAAACAACAGAAAGGAATTACAGACTGATATCTCTAACGTCCCACATTATAAAAATCTTTGAAAGAGTTCTAAGAAGCATGATAGCCAACCACTTGAATTCACAACCATTGCACAACTCAGGGCAACATAGGTTAAGAGCAGGTCACTGCTGCCTCTCACAACTACTGGACAACTATGATATGGTCTTGGATGCACTGGAGAACAAACAGAATGAAGATGTAGTATACACAGACTGCCAAAACCTTCGGCAAGTCTACCTAGAGGGCATTCAGTGCGATCATAATGTAAATGAGCGCTCTAAATGCGTGCTAAAGGAATAACTGGAAAACTGGGCAAATGGATCTTCAACTTTCTAACCAATAAAAGACAAAGAGTAATGGTAAACTGTTAAATCTCAGGCGGCACAGCGAGAAACTGTTCGCTCCACCAGGTATAGCACTCGGCCCCATCTTGTTTCACATCCTCATTTCTGACATAGAGATGTAAACCATAGTACCATGTACCCCAGTGGAAATAAGATCACTTTGTCTGACTTTTTTTTGGGTTATCCTAGGTAATTTACACTATGTATGATAATTGTACTTATGTGTACCTGTGCCTAAATAAACTTATTCGTCTTTTACAGAGAGTACCTATTCTATGGACGGCCTACTGTAGACACTAGAAAACTGTGTTCACTTCTTATACCATACTGGTTTTGGTTTCTATCACTGACAAAATTCTCAGCAAGATATTCTGGAGACTGCTTGTGAGTAATATTATAGACATAACCTTTATATTATAATAATAAGGTAAAAGGATCCCAATGGAAATAAGTCACTCTGTCTGACTTTTTTGGGTTATCCCAGGTTCTCTACACATATGCTGCTATGTATGATAATTCTATGTAACTGTATTTGTGTATACCTGAATAAACTTACTTACTTACTTACATAAGATAACTTCAGCAACTGTACTCTGGTCTGTAACACAGGTCTTGTAATTCATCCCCAGAGTGAAAACCATAATTTATATCCTATTTTATTTTTATTTTAAGGGTATTAGTAATTTATATTTTACTTAGAAAAAAAAATATAGTAAGAGTGATATTTTAATGTTTATTAGATAAGAACCATCAGTGTTGATGGCAGAAGCACATGTGAGCAGCAGCAGCAGCAGCAGCAGCAGCAACGACAACATCAACACAGCAGCAGCAACGACATCAGCACAACGGCAACGACAACATCAGCACAGCAACAGCAGCAACGACATCAGCACAGCAGCAGCAACGACAACATCAACACAGCAGCAGCAGCAACGACAACATCAACACAGCAGCAGCAGCAACGACAACATCAGCACAGCAGCAGCAGCAACGACAACAGCACAGCAGCAGCTCAGTAACAACAAGTTAGTTAGTTTAATATATTTTTTATGCATTCCATAACCATCCTGTGGGTGGTAGTCATAAGATCACATAGAGTCCAGGGACTGTACCTCAGCATTACAGGGATACAATGGGCCCAGTAACTGTACCTCAGCATTACAGGGTACATAAAGAGGTCCAGGGACTGTACCTCAGCATTACAGGGCACATAAAGAGGTCCAGGGACTGTACCTCAGCATTACAGGGTGCATAAAGTGGCCCAGGGACTGTACCTCAGCATTACAGGGTACATAAAGTGGTCCAGGGACTGTACCTTAGCATTACAGGGTACATAAAGTGGTCCAGGGACTGTACCTCAGCATTACAGGGTACATAAAGAGGTCCAGGGACTGTACCTCAGCATTACAGGGTACATGAAGAGGTCCAGGGACTGTACCTCAGCATTACAGGGTACATGAAAGGGTCCAGGGACTGTACCTCAGCATTACAGGGTACATAAAGTGGTCCAGGGACTGTACCTCAGCATTACAGGGTACATGAAGAGGTCCAGGGACTGTACCTCAGCATTACAGGGTACATGAAAGGGTCCAGGGACTGTACCTCAGCATTACAGGGTACATAAAGAGGTCCAGGGACTGTACCTCAGCATTACAGGGTACATAAAGTGGTCCAGGGACTGTACCTCAGCATTACAGGGTACATGAAGGGGTCCAGGGACTGTACCTCAGCATTACAGGGTACATAAAGTGGTCCAGGGACTGTACCTCAGCATTACAGGGTACATAAAGAGGTCCAGGGACTGTACCTCAGCATTACAGGGTACATAAAGTGGTCCAGGGACTGTACCTCAGCATTACAGGGTACATGAAGGGGTCCAGGGACTGTACCTCAGCATTACAGGGTACATAAAGTGGTCCAGGGACTGTACCTCAGCATTACAGGGTACATAAAGTGGTCCAGGGACTGTACCTCAGCATTACAGGGTACATAAAGTGGTCCAGGGACTGTACCTCAGCATTACAGGGTACATGAAGGGGTCCAGGGACTGTACCTCAGCATTACAGGGTACATAAAGTGGTCCAGGGACTACCTCAGCATTACAGGGTACATAAAGTGGTCCAGGGACTGTACCTCAGCATTACAGGGTACATGAAGGGGTCCAGGGACTGTACCTCAGCATTACAGGGTACATGAAGGGGTCCAGGGACTGTACCTCAGCATTACAGGGTACATAAAGTGGTCCAGGGACTGCACCTCAGCATTACAGGGTACATAAAGTGGTCCAGGGACTGTACCTCAGCATTACAGGGTACATAAAGGGGTCCAGGGACTGGGTTGTAAATATTTGATAATTAGCCCGTAAACGGTCCGAACGTATATATATGTTTTTTCAACATTTGAAAGTATGTAAAAAGGGTAGATTTTTTTTTTTTACATTTGAAAATGTGTAAAAAAACGTAGATCTACTTTTGGAGCACTACACATGTGAACGTAGATCTGCCTGGACCGTTTACGGGTTAAACAAGTTAGTGGTAATGAACTATTTACATGTTTATATCTGGTTACAATAGTAATGAGTTATTTACGGAGATGACACCAGCATCAACAGCATCAGCAGCAGCATCAACAGCAGCATCTTGCTATATTACCCCAAACATGTCACCTTCTGATTCCCCTCTCAGGCACCTCTCCCATGCTTTCACCATTAACGTATGCAGCCTTCTTGAGTAACTTTTTTTTGACAGTGAAAGCCTGTAACACACAGACATTCATATACATGTTTACCTGGAGAGAGTTCCGGGGGTCAATGCCCCCACGGCCCGGTCTATGACCAGGCCTCAAGGTGGATCAGAGCCTGATCAACCAGGCTGTTACTACTGGCTGCACGCAATCCAACATACGCGCCACAGCCCGGCTGGTCAGGTACCGACTTTAGGTACTTGTCCAGTGCCTGCTGGAAGACAGCCAGGGATCTATTGGTAATCTCCCTTATGTATGCTGGGAGGCAGTTAAAGAGTCTCGGGCCCCTGACACTTATTGTATTGTCTCTATATACATCCCCCCAATGAAAAGCAGGGGTACTAGTGACACCCCTGCTTTTCATTGGGGGGATGTATATATTACACATACATATGTTTGTATCTATGTGTATGTATCTACATATGTATGTATCTGCATGGATTTATATTCATACATAGTGATTTCACTACTTATACATACAGTGCTTTCTACTATTTATTTAACGTAGCTTAATTCTGGGAAAATATTGCTTGTTAATTCTCTGCCGTTGGAAAATTGTGAAATAGAATAAGCATTTTTCACAGTGATAGGTAACCTCCAGATATTATCTTTTTCTAATTTTGTCATTTGCATGAAAGGTCATGGTGTGTACCACAGTGCACGACAAGTCTTATAGTTAAGAAAAGAAATCTTCAGCCACTGCCAATATCATAAAAAAAAAATGTGTTGCAGGTGAAGGTGGTTGATCTTGGAAAATATATTGCAGTAAAGAGCCACTATCTGCAAGTGTTTGGTTAAAGTTTCCACAAATAAGAGCAAGATAATGGAAGATGACGAGAAGACTGTGCAGTTTCACGAGATGGGGCTGGATGACAGAATATTGGAGGTAATGTGGTGTGTGTTATTTATACATTTCTAGCTAACTGTGTTCACCTACGGCCATACCACGTTGAATGCACCGCTTCTCGTCCGATCAGCGAAATTAAGCAACGTTGGGTTTGGTTAGTACTTGGATGGGTGACCGCCTGGGAACACCAAATGCTGTTGGCATAAATCTTTTATAAGATGTTATCTTCATTATAGAATAATAAGAAAATATTATAAAATTTATATTATAATAATAAGGTAAAAGGACTCCAATGGAAATAAGTCACTCTGTCTGACTTTTTTGGGTTATCCTAGGTTCTCTACACATATGCTGCTATGTATGATAATTCTATGTAACTGTATTTGTGTATACCTGAATAAACTTACTTATCTAACTTTATTGACTATCAACTGTGTTCTTGACCCTTATTACCATAGCTATAACTGTGGAGTATGGCAGTAAGACCACTGAAACATGCTAGTCAGCTCCTACTTTCATCCATCCTGTCCTACTTTTGTCTAATAAAATATATTGATGGGAAATGGAATGTTAGTAATTTTCTTCACTTATGCTACAAGGCAGTTTGCCTTTCTCATCACCAGCTCTATTGCCAAACTAGGATTATCATATATTCTTTATAAATTTAAATTTATAAAATTTTGATCGATTGTTATGATTTTGTCTTTGATAAATATTTTCAACATTTTAATATCTGCCCTTGTTCTGTATCTTTATAGAGAGTACAAGTTCATTAGTACTCTTCAGCTGTCTTAGGTGAAAATTTCCTGATACCTCATTATACATTTTCCAATGCATTATACCTATTCTGTAATAAAAAGACCAGAAAAGTGCTGAATGCAGTGAAAACTTGCCAGTGGTAACAAACTGTAATGTAACTTTGGGGAATTATGATATGTATTGTTTAACCCGTAAACGGTCCAAACGTATATATACGTTTTTTCAACATCTGAAAGTATGAAACAAAAATGTAGATTTTTTTTTTGTTTTACATTTGAAAACGTGTAAAAAAACTTTTATCAAAATTTTATTTTTTTTGTTATACAGTGGTCTCTCGCTTTTCGTAGTTCTCGGCAATCGTAAATTTCGCCAATCATAGGGGTATTTTCGTATAAACATGGACTCGCTTTTCATAGGTTGACTTGCGAATAGTAGTTCGTCCGGGACGTGTACACACGGTGTGAGCCGGGGCGGCCTCCCTACCCAGCCAGTCTGGCATTGTTTACCAGTGAGTGAAGGTCCCCTCAAGTGCTCCTACGAAATATTTCATAATATTCCACTCATTTAAGTGCTTGCAGGTACTAAATAAGCTACCATGGCTCCAAAGAAAGCTCCTAGTGCCAAGCCTGTGGTTAAGAAGGTGAGAAATATGTACAGTGACAAAGTCTTGGGCCATTTTAGGGAAGTGTTAAAGAGATGCCAGAAACAGAGCTCTCTCCACAGCTACTTTGCGAGACAGGACTAGAGTGACTCTCAAGGTGGTCCTAGTGGCATTAAGAAACAGAGAAGAGAAGCATCCCCAGAGAAGCAATTGGTACCTGAGGTGTTGCTGGAAGGGGATTCCCCTTCCAAACTGTAAACAATCCAATCTATCTCCTCCTCCAGTCTCCCATACACTAAGAAGAATCTCCATTAAAGGTAAGTGTTATGCTGTTAATGTTTCATTCATCATTTCCCATTGTATTGTTTATGTACTACATGTATATTTCATGTAAAAATTTTTTTTTGTTTTAATACTTCTGGGTGTCAGGAACGGATTAATTGTATTTACATTATTTCTTATGGGGAAAATTGATTCGCAAATCATAAATTTCATTTGTAGTAGCTCCTCCAGGAACGGATTAATTACGAAAAACGAGGGACCACTGTATTTGAAAATATGTAAAAAAAGTAGATCTACTTTTGTAGCACTTCGAATTTGAACGTCGATCTGTTTGGACCGTTTAAGGGTTAATTGCATTAAAAATGTAAGGAATGGGTATTGTACCTGAATTTTGATGGGCTTGTCATCTTCATTACATTAACCTCAAACCATTTGAAATTAGTTAGATGAAAAATTTCTTATCAGTGAAAGTTGTGTGATTGTGTGATTTTTTTTAGGTTTTTGCTGTCCTCTTTTTTTTTTTTTTTTAACATATTGTTACTATACATTTGTAGGCCATTGCAAGATTAAGATGGAAAGAGCCGACCCTAGTCCAGGAGAAGGCCATCCCATTAATCCTGGAGGGGAAAGATGTTCTTGCTAGGGCAAGAACAGGATCGGGTAAAACTGGTGCATTTGCTATTCCTGTTGTTCATAAGATTCTTGAAGGAAAACGGACAGCCACAGAACAAGTAAGATGAAATAAACAAGAATTGTGTTAATTCATAATTAAATTTTAAAACTATTACATCACAGTATAAAATATTATTTTTAGCTGTGATTTATTCCTTTTTATATATACTGTAATTTTTAAATAAAAAAATCTGGGTGCAGAAATTAAACAAGTAATTTCAAAGGCAAACAACTGTTGAAATTATTTGTAAGTGAAAACTGGTAATTTTTTTTTATCTTTAAATTAGGTAAAACTGCATTTCATGGTATTAGAAATGTATTCATTATAACCGATATTCAATATCAATCCAACCTATGTGCAGTTCTACTGTTAAATTTTTTTAAGCACAGGGGATGGCATATTATCTCATCACTGCCAGGTACACACAGTCACCATGGACTGCAGGCCCTGGGAGCAAAACAGGATGGGATTTTCATTAAATAAAAAATATTTGGTGAATGAACTGCAAACTTTAGTCACTAGCAGCACCTAGATTCACCAGAATTTATTTAAAAAATCAGTTATAAGCCATATGAATCCTTACCTAATTTTGTCCATACAATATTGAGTTATGTAACTTCACAATAAATCTCATCCACGATGAGGTTTATTATGGTTTATTCTGCACCACTGCATTCATTACTGAATGGTAAGGAATGCACTGGTGCAGAATGTAAAACTCCCATTACCTCATTCACAATAACTGAGTACATGATACGGTAATGTACTTCTAGGAAAACAGCCTTATTGGTGGGTATTGGATAATTTATTGGTATCTGTATAGGTGGAAATCTGCTAATTTTGAAGTTATTGGTATACCATTATTATATTTGCTTCATGGTATTGGTAGCAGTATCGGCCTAAATTTGACTATTGGCATCACCAAATGTTTTAATATCGTCCCAACATTGGTACAGAGCCTTCACCTTCAAAGTCAGGATGTGATGGTGATGTTTCATTTTAGTGTACCAATAATGCACTCTGATGTCTGCCCTTCTGGAAAGGTTGTTAGGGAGCAAATGAAAGGAAACAGCCAGTTTGTTTAAAGCAAAATTGACTTTATTAATGCTGTTAAGGTAATTTTTTTTGCAGACTGTACAGGTTCTTATTTTGGCACCAACTAGGGAGTTGTGTAAGCAAATAAAAGACAATATAAGTCAGCTGACAGTTTTATGTAAACGTGAAGTACGATTTGTTGATGTTTCTGAGAAAGTTCCTCTAGAAGCTCAACGTCCTCTCCTTGTAGGTAAGAATCATTCTGATTTTTATATCATTGTAGGTTGATAATAAATTTGTAGTTTTTTAACCACCACATCAGCAGTTTACCACCAAGGTAAGGTAACTCCTAAAAAATTAAACATTACCATTATTCATTGAATATCTGTTTTGCAGAGTACAGACAAAACATTACAGGTGACTCTTAGAATTACAGTATATCCCCACCCCTCTTTCAGAGTTCAGGCACTGTACTTTCTACCTCCAGGACACAAGTCTGGCTAACCAGTTTCCCTGAACCTCTTCATAAATGTTGCCTTGGTCATGCTCCAACAGCATGCCAAATCCCTAAAACTACCAGTCTTTATGCAACCCAATCTAACATGTTCACATATGCCTACCATTTGAAACCTTTACACCCTCCCTCCCTCCCTCTCTTCCTTCCACCCTGGAGTTGTACATTCTCTTGGTCATTCTGTTCTGCTCCAACTTTCTAATGCCCATGCCACCTCAGCAACCTCTCCTTTGTCCTCTGCTTAACACTTTCCCTGTCTTATGTAGATCTGCGTTATGGATGCCAGTGCCCGCAAATGTGCCGTGAGTGGTAAATTTAGGCCTAGACACAAGAGAATGGGTCTGTGCATTGAGTGTGCACAGTGTAAAAAAAATATTGAATCATGTGGTACATGATAGGAAAAGCAAACCTCTGACCTCAAGAAGTTTTCTAGGATGGTTTTTGTTATTTTATTGGCTGTTTCTTGGTATCATTTGGTAGAATGGAAGAAGTGATCTTGGTCAGCTTCAGGCCCAGAAACAGCTTGAAATAGGGCTTAAAGTAGTGAAAGTATTTTCTTTTTTCTTTTTCCAAGGAAGGGTAAAGTTTCCCAATACCATCTGTCTCTTTATGGGTTTTTAATAGGTCTGCTACAATTATTGGGATATCCTAAACCATGACCAATCATTCCTGGGCATATTTTATTTTCCAGAGTAAATCTTCAATTTTTGTGATTATGAATTCAAATGAAAGACAACTGTAATATAGGAGAGACCTGGGGATGTAATTAATGAACAGAGGAAATGTTTTATTACCAAGAATGTCTACACTGTTTATTTTGCATTATTTTTAAATTTGTGTTTTTTTAATTTTGAGTCATTTTGGCCAAATTACTGACTGCACTTTATAGGGTAGTTGTAATAGTTGAATGGGTGGTTTCTTGTGCTCAATTGATAAGCATTTCAATGCTTAACACTTCTACTTGATTTGGCCTCTGTTTGGTTCTGGGCATTGTTCATTTGTAAACACTTCAGAATTTTATGTTGTTGCATAGTTCCCTATCAGTTTCAATTTTTTTTGCAGTGATATTTCTTGCCCTTTTATTTTTTTCCAATTTGGTAATTGGAACAGCTTTAGTTCTGTCTTTTCATTGATATCTATGTTCATTTCCATTTCAATTAATTTCTAACTTTTCATTTAGCTTACTTTTTTCTGACATTTAGCTTATTTTGCACTCTACAGTGCTTATCCTTTTATTTGAGCTGCTTACATTGGGAGAATGCATGTTCCAACCCACAGTGTTTATTTTCATGCTATATCTATTATATAGTTGGTAGACAACAACCAGGGACGTACTACCGTCCTGCCAAATGAATGTGAAACAGAAACCTGTAATTGTTTTACATGATGGTAGGATTGCTGGTGTGATAAATGGTTTGAACACCGACAAGTTGAAGATCGAGACACTTGTGCAGCATATGGGAATCTTTATTAAGGAAACGTTTTGCCACACAGTGGCTTCTTCAGTCCAATACAAAGCAGAGAGGAGTAAGGAGAGGAGGAGTTTGAGGTAACCAGTCCCTCAGCCTGGAATCGATGTGTTCAGTCCATCACTCTTGTAAAAAGTACACCATATGGCCGGGGAAGTGGCTTATATACAGTAGACAGGTGAGTCGAAGTAGGACGAGGCGGGATCACAGTGGAACCATCCACTAGTGTAAGCAGGTCTTTGTCCAAAGGTTGGACAAGTATTGAAGAATTCTTTGTATCAAATTCCTGTGATGTTGCAGTGTCTGACAGATGTGATAAATGCTTTGAAAACCAACAAATTGAAGATTGAGACACTTATGCAACATTTATTTATTATTTTATTATCACACTGGCTGATTCCCACCAAGGCAGGGTGGACCGAAAAAGAAAAACTTTCACCATCATTCACTCCATCACTGTCTTGCCAGAAGGGTGCTTTACACTACAGTTTTTAAACTGCAACATTAACACCCCTCCTTCAGATTGCAGGCACTGCACTTCCCATCTCCACGACTCAAGTCCGGCCTGCCGGTTTTCCCGAACCCCTTCATAAATGTTACTTTGCTCACACTCCAACAGCACGTCAAGTATTAAAAACCATTTGTCTCCATTCACTCCTATCAAACACGCTCATGCATGCCTGCTGGAAGTCCTAGCCCCTCGCACACAAAACCTCCTTTACCCCCTCTCTCCAACCTTTCCTAGGCCGACCCCTACCCCGCCTTCCTTCCAATACAGACTGATACACTCTTGAAGTCATTCTGTTTCGCTCCATTCTCTCTACATGTCCGAACCACCTCAACAACTCTTCCTCAGCCCTCTGGACAACAGTTTTGGTAATCCCGCACTTCCTCCTAACTTCCAAACTACGAATTCTCTGCATTATATTCACACCACACGTTGCCCTCAGACATGACATCTCCACTGCCTCCAGCCTTCTCCTCACTGCAACATTCATCACCCACGCTTCACACCCATATAAGAGCGTTGGTAAAACTAGACTCTCATACATTCCCCTCTTTGCCTCCAAGGACAAAGTTCTTTGTCTCCACAGACTCTGTTCAGAATGAAAGGGGGTAAAGCAGTTGGAACTGATGGGATCATGACAGAAATGTTAAAAGCAGGGGGGATATAGCGTTGGAGTGGTTGGTACTTTTGTTTAATAAATGTATGAAAGAGGGGAAGGTACCTAGGGATTGGCAGAGAGCATGTATAGTACCTTTATATAAAGGGAAAGGTGACAAAAGAGATTGTAAAAATTATAGAGGAATAAGTTTACTGAATATACCAGGAAAAGTATACGGTAGGGTTATAATTGAAGGAATTAGAGGTAAGACAGAATGTAGGATTGTGGATGAGCAGGGAGGCTTCAGAGTGGGTAGGGGATGTGTAGATTAAGTGTTTACATTGAAGCATATATGTGAACAGTATTTAGATAAAGGTAGGGAAGTTTTTATTGCATTTATGGATTTAGAAAAGGCATATGATAGAGTGGATAGAGGAGCAATGTGGCAGATGTTGCAAGTACATATATGGAATAGGTGGTAAGTTACTAAATGCAGTTAAGAGTTTTTATGAGGATAGTGAGGCTCAGGTTAGGGTGTGTAGAAGAGAGGGAAAATACTTCCCGGTAAAAGTAGGTCTTAGACAGGGATGTGTAATGTCACCATGGTTGTTTAATATATTTATAGATGGGGTTGTAAAAGAAGTAAATGCTAGGGTGTTCGGGAGAGGGGTGGGGTTAAATTATGGGGAATCAAATTCAAAATGGGAATTGACACAGTTACTTTTTGCTGATGATACTGTGCTTATGGGAGATTCTAAAGAAAAATTGCAAAGGTTAGTGGATGAGTTTGAAAATGTGTGTAAAGGTAGAAAGATGAAAGTGAACATAGAAAAGAGTAAGGTGATGAGGGTATCAAATGATTTAGATAAAGAAAAATTGGATATCAAATTGGGGAGGAGGAGTATGGAAGAAGTGAATGTTTTCAGATACTTGGGAGTTGATGTGTCGGCAGATAGATTTATGAAGGATGAGGTTAATCATAGAATTGATGAGGGAAAAAAGGCGAGTGGTGCGTTGAGGTATATGTGGTGTCAAAAAACGTTATCTATGGAGGCAAAGAAGGGAATGTATGAAAGTATAGTAGTACCAACACTCTTATATGGATGTGAAGCTTGGGTGGTAAATGCAGCAGCGAGGAGACGGTTGGAGGCAGTGGAGATGTCCTGTCTAAAGGCAATGTGTGGTGTAAATATTATGCAGAAAATTCGGAGTGTGGAAATTAGGAGAAGGTGTGGAGTTAATAAAAGCATTAGTCAGAGGGCAGAAGAGGGGTTGTTGAGGTGGTTTGGTCATTTAGAGAGAATGGATCAAAGTAGAATGACATGGAAAGCATATAAATCTATAGGGGAAGGAAGGAGGGGTAGGGGTCGTCCTCGAAAGGGTTGGAAAGAGGGGGTTAAGGAGGTTTTGTGGGCGAGGGGCTTGGACTTCCAGCAAGCGTGCATGAGCGTGTTAGTTAGGAGTGAATGGAGACGAATGATACTTGGGACCTGACGATCTGTTGGAGTGTAAGCAGGGTAATATTTAGTGAAGGGATTCAGGGAAACCCGTTATTTTCATATAGTCGGACTTGAGTCCTGGAAATGGGAAGTACAATGTCTGCACTTTAAAGGAGGGGTTTGGGATATTGGCAGTTTGGAGGGATATGTTGTGTATCTTTATACGTACATGTATATGCTTCTAAGCTGTTGTATTCTTAGCACCTCTGCAAAAACAGTGATAATGTGTGAGTGTGGTGAAAGTGTTGAATGATGATGAAAGTATTTTCTTTTTGGGGATTTTCTTTCTTTTTTGGGTCAGCCTGCCTCGGTGGGAGACGGCCGACTTGTTGGAAAAAAAAAAAAACGACTACTCCAACACTATGTCCCCTCCTGCTTTTAACATTTCTTTCATGATCCCATCAGTTCCAGCTGCTTTACCCCCTTTCATTCTATGTAATGCCTCACGCACCTCTCCCACACTCACATCCTGCTCTTCTTCACTCCTAAAAGATGGTATACCTCCCTGGCCAGTGCATGAAATTACCGCCTCCCTTTCTTCATCGACATTTAAAAGTTCCTCAAAATATTCTCGCCATCTATCCAATACCTCCATCTCCCCATCTACTAACTTCCCTACTCTGTTTTTAACTGACAAATCCATTTGTTCCCTAGGCTTTCTTAACTTGTTTAACTCATTCCAAAGTTTTTTCTTATTTTCATTAAAATTTCTTGAGTGCCTCTCCCACTCTTATCATCTGCTCTCCTTTTGCACTCTCTCACCACTCTCTTCACTTTTCTTTTACTCCCCATATACTCTACTCTTCTTATAACACTTCTGCTTTGTAAATACCTCCCATAAGCTACCTTTTTCTCTTTTATCACACCCTTTACTTCATCATTCCACCAATCACTCCTCTCTCCTCCTGCACCCACCCTCCTATAACCACAAACTTCTGCCCCACATTCTAATACTGCATTTTTAAAACTATTCCAACCCTCTTCACCCCCCCCCCCACTACTCATACCTGCACCAGCCCACCTTTCTGCCAATAGTTGCTTATATTTCACCCGAACTTCCTCCTCCCTTAGTTTATACTTTCACCTCCCTCTTACTTGCTGCCATTTTCCTCTTATCCATTTTCCTCTTACTCTAATTGTAGCTATAACTAGATAATGATTCGATATATCAGTTGCCTCTCTATAAACGTGTACATCCTGGAGCCTACCCATCAACCTTTTATCTACCAATATATAATCTAACAAACTACTTTCATTACATGCTATATCATACCTTGTATATTTATTTATCCTCTTTTTCATAAAATATGTCTTACTTATTACCAAACCTCTTTCTACACATAGCTCAATTAAATGCTCCTCATTTTCATTTACGCCTGGCACCCCAAATTTCCTACTACGTACTCCCTCCACAACATTTTTACCCACTTTAGCATTAAAATCCCCAACCACAAGTACTCTCACACTTGGTTCAAAACTCCCCATGCATTCACTCAACATTTCCCAAAATCTCTCTCTCTCTCCTCTATACTTCTCTCTTCCCCAGGTGCATATACGCTTACTATAACCCACTTTTCACATCCAACCTTTATTTTACTCCACATAATCCTTAAATTAATACATTTATAGACCCTCTTTTCCTGCCATAGCTTATCCTTCAACATTATTGCTACTTTTGCTTTAGCTCTAACTCTGTTAGAAACCCCTGACCTAATCCCATTTATTCCTCTCCACTGAAACTCACCCACCCCCTTCAGTTTTGTTTCACTTAAAGCCAGGACATCCAGCTGCTTCTCATTCATAACATCCACAATCATCTCTTTCTTATCATTCACACAACATCCATGCACATTCAGACATCCCACTTTGACAATTTTCTTCTTCTTATTCTTTTTAGTAATTATTACAGGAAAAGGGGTTTACTAGCCCATTGTTCCCGGCATTTTAGTTGACTTTTACAACACGCATGGCTTACGGAGGAAAGATTCTTATTCCACTTCCCCATGGATATAAAAGGAAAAGTAATAAGAACAAGAACTAAGATAAAATCAAAGAAAACTCAGATGAGTGTGTATAAATAAATGTGTACATGTATGTTTAGTGTAACCTAATGTATGTAGAAGTAGCAAGACATACCTGTAATCTTGCATATTTATGAGACAGACAAAAGACACTAGCAATCCTAACATCATGTAAAACAATTACTACAGGCTTTTGTTTTACACTCATTTGGCAGGACGGTAGTACCTTCCTGGGTGGTTGCTGTCTACCAACCTACACATATATCTGGGGTTTATTCTATTTTCTTAATAGTTCTTGTTCTTTATTTCATCTTATCTCCATGGGAAAGTAGAAAAAAAAATTCCTCCATAAGCCATGCGTGTCGTAAGAGGTGACTAAAATGCAGGGAGCAAGGAGCTAGTAACCCTTTCTCCTGTATAAATTACTAAATTTAAAAAGAAAAACTTGCATTGTTTTTTTGTCACCCTGCCTTGGTGGGATATCGCCAGTGTTAAAAAAAAAAAATATTATGTACTAGCATTATTAAATGTTTGATAACTGTTGAACTTCATTAATACTAAATATATTTTTGTGTAACTGGCAGACAAACCTGATATCGTTGTTGGAACTCCTATGAGAGTTTTGGCTCACATCTCTGCTGGTAATTTGAAAGTCAAGGAATCCCTCAAGTTCTTGGTAGTTGACGAAGCTGATCTTCTGTTTACCTACAATCACTCGAGTGATATTCAGGAAGTGCTTAAGTAAGAATTGTACAACCTTATTTTTTTCTTGCAGTATATGTTTTTTGACTTCCCAGAAAATTCTAACTAAATATTTCGAGACATGTTGTGTTCTAACTGATCTCTGTTAACATTTTGTGATCACTGAAAGAGGTGTTGAGTCTAGTAAGTAGAATCAGTGGGGAAGAAAATGCAACAGACAAACACTCCTGCAGACTCAGGGTAGATGTTAGTGGATTTGTGTGGAGTTTTAGAGATAGAGAGGTAGATAATGTCTAGTGATTATGTAAGAGGTAATAAAGGCAATCTGTTACCAGAGATAGTCATTGGAATGAAAAACAGTAAGCAAGGGAAAATATGGTGGGGAGGAGAGAAAATTTTTGGCATTGGTGGATGAGACTACTGTATTTTCTTTTACTACCCCATTTATTTCTTATTAGAATAATTTAGTAATGCGTTAAATTGGTCTCCTCAGAGGTTGGCTTTAAGCCTAGGAATCAATAAACATTTTTTTCTGGATCACATCAGGTTGTAGAGGGCATAGTAAGTAAATTTGGGGTGCCAGGGGTAAATGATAATGGGGGTTTTAATTGAACTTTGTATATAAAGAGGTTTGGTAGTGGTGAAAGTGTTTCTTCTTTTTTGGGTCTCCCTACCTAAGTGTGAAACTGCCTGCATTTTAAAAAAACTAAATTAAGATGCTGGAAAAGAAAACTAATCTTTCTTGAGTCATCGCTTTTCCTGAGGATTCCATTGCCCAACACATTTAGGAAGCAAAGGATTGAAGGTAGTACCCAGGAAAGGAAGGAATTAGAAACTTACCAGCACGAGAAGCTCTCATTTAGGAAATGACCTTTCCATTTTTGGTTACTACAAGGTTATTCTGGTTGGATTGTGGTTTTTTTGGGAGGAGACTAAATAACAATCATTTTGGTATCACTGGAAACTCTATATTTTACATTACTTCTCATGATGTTTGAGGCTGTTTGAAGAAAAAATGTTGATCTCTTCCTTTCAGACACCTACCAGTAATTTATCAATCATTTCTGACAAGTGCTACTATGTGGGATGATGTGAAGGATTTTCAGAAGCTGGTCATGAATAAGCCTGTTGTCTTGAGGCTTGAGGAGCCACCATTGCCATCTACTTCTCAGCTTGCTCAATATATCATTAAGGTAAGAATTTAATTTTTTTAACTGCTTTATATTTTTTCCTGAACATTTTAAATTCCCTTCCTTTTAGAATATAAGCACCAGTCACTTAAAATCTGGTCCTGCTGTTTGATTCAACCATGTCTTTTTTTGAGCCCTTCTATAACGAATATGTATGTTAATGCTCTAAGTCTGTAACTGATGTATTTTCTTTACAGCTGGAAAAGATTGACAAGATTGTCCTTATCACTGTACTTTTTCACTTGAACATGATCCGTGGGAAGACAATCATCTTTGTTAACACTGTTGACAAAGGCTATAAGTAAGTACAGTATTGTTACAAATGTAACTTTGAGTGAAACGGACAGAATTTAGCTATTGTATTTGAATTATACTATAACCAGCATCTGTATATTTGAACAGCTACATATTTGTCTATTGTGTGTATTATACTGTACTTCCAACTGTCCATATGTTTGTATAAGCATATAAGTCAATTAATAAAATATTATGGTGGTTTTGTATAAATAAATATTTAAAATAGTGCTCTATATAAATTAATTAGTAAAATAATAATATATAAAAACATAATAAAATTGTTATAGACATATGTACTTGCAGGCTGAGGATGTTCTTAGGACAGTTTGGAATTAGCTCTTGTTTGCTTAATTCTGAGATGCCTGTGGTATCAAGATGCAACATAATAGACCAGTTCAACAGTAGCAAGTATGATATCATCATTGCTTCTGATGAACAGCACCTAATAGCTCCAGAAAGCAGCAAAACTAAAGAAAAGCCAAGGTAAAAATTATGTTATTGAAGCTTTTAGCATAAATTAACAGAGTGTGGTTAAAGAGATGAGCAACACTTGTAACATTTTATTTTTTTTATTATTTATTATCGCACTGGCCGATTCCCACCAAGGCAGGGTGGCCCGAAAAAGAAAAACTCGCCATCATTCACTCCATCACTGTCTTGCCAGAAGGGTGCTTTACACTACAGTTTTTAAACTGCAACATTAACACCTCTCCTTCAGAGTGCAGGCACTGTACTTCCCATCTCCAGGACTCAAGTCCGGCCTGCCGGTTTCCCTGAATCCCTTCATAAATGTTACTTTGCTCACACTCCAACAGCACGTCAAGTATTAAAAACCATTTGTCTCCATTCACTCCTATCAAACACGCTCACGCATGCCTGCTGGAAGTCCAAGCCCCTCGCACACAAAACCTCCTTTACCCCCTCCCTCCAACCTTTCCTAGGCCGACCCCTACCCCGCCTTCCTTCCACTACAGACTGATACACTCTTGAAGTCATTCTGTTTCGCTCCATTCTCTCTACATGTCCGAACCACCTCAACAACCCTTCCTCAGCCCTTTGGACAACAGTTTTGGTAATCCCGCACCTCCTCCTAACTTCCAAACTACGAATTCTCTGCATTATATTCACACCACACATTGCCCTCAGACATGACATCTCCACTGCCTCCAGCCTTCTCCTCGCTGCAACATTCATCACCCATGCTTCACACCCATGTAAGAGCGTTGGTAAAACTATACTCTCATACATTCCCCTCTTTGCCTCCAAGGACAAAGTTCTTTGTCTCCACAGACTCCTAAGTGCACCACTCACCCTTTTCCCCTCATCAATTCTATGATTCACCTCATCTTTCATAGACCCATCCGCTGACACGTCCACTCCCAAATATCTGAATACATTCACCTCCTCCATACTCTCTCCCTCCAATCTGATATCCAATCTTTCATCACCTAATCTTTTTGTTATCCTCATAACCTTACTCTTTCCTGTATTCACTTAATTTTCTTCTTTTGCATACCCTACCAAATTCATCCACCAATCTCTGCAACTTCTCTTCAGAATCTCCCAAGAGCACAGTGTCATCAGCAAAGAGCAACTGTGACAACTCCCACTTTGTGTGATTCTTTATCTTTTAACTCCACGCCTCTTGCCAAGACCCTCGCATTTACTTCTCTTACAACCCCATCTATAAATATATTAAACAACCACGGTGACATCACACATCCTTGTCTAAGGCCAACTTTTACTGGGAAATAATTTCCCTCTTTCCTACATACTCTAACTTGAGCCTTACTATCCTCGTAGAAACTCTTCACTGCTTTCAGTAACCTACCTCCTACACCATACATCTGCCACATTGCCCCCGTATCCACCCTGTTATACGCCTTTTCCAAGTCCATAAATGCCACAAAGACTTCTTTAGCCTTATCTAAATACTGTTCACTTATGTGTTCCACTTTAAACACCTGGTCCACACACCCCTTACCTTTCCTAAAGCCTCCTTGTTCATCTGCTATCCTATTCTCCGTCTTACTCTTAATTCTTTCCATAATAACTCTACCATACACTTTACCAGGTATACTCCACAAACTTATTCCCCTATAATTTTTGCACTCTCTTTTGTCCCCTTTGCCTTTATACAAAGGAACTATGCATGCTCTCTGCCAATCCCTAGGTACCTTACCTTCTTCCATACATTTATTAAATAATTGCACCAACCACTCCAAAACTATATCCCCACCTGCTTTTAACATTTCTATCTTTATCCCATCAATCCCGGCTGCCTTACCCTCTTTCATTTTACCTACTGCCTCACGAACTTCCCCCACACTCACAACTGGCTCTTCCTCACTCCTACAAGATGTTATTTCCCCTTGCCCTATACACGAAATCACAGCTTCCCTATCTTCATCAACATTTAACAATTCCTCGAAATATTCCCTCCATCTTCCCAATACCTCTAACTCTCCATTTGATAACTCTCCTCTCCTATTTTTAACTGACAAATCCATTTGTTCTCTAGGCTTCCTTAACCCTTTCAGGGTCCGTCCCGTAGATCTACGGCTTTATGTTCAGGGTCCAAACTGTAGATCTACGTCATGAGCTCAGCTCACTCTGATAAATTGTGAGTGGTACATTTGGGCCTAGATATGAGAGAATACATCCATGTGGCATGTGTGCATCACATAAAACAGATCCTGCAGCACACTGTGTATAATGAGAGAAAAAAACTGAAATCATGATTTTTCGATTAAATGGCGACTTTGCGGTGTTTTTTCGTATGTTTTTTATAGTTGTATTTGCGATTTCTTGGTCTCGTTTGATAGAATGGAAGACATGTTACAGAAATAGAGATGATTTTGATTGGTTTTAGCACTGGAAATGGCTTGAAACTGAGCTCAAAGTAGCAGAAATTTTAAATTTTTGCCGATATTCAAGAGTAAACTAACGACCTCACACGTCTAATACACGCCAGCTGGTGGGTCCAATATGCATTCAAAAATATGGTGATGATATTTATACAATTATTACAGTATTGCATAACAGTAAATCTTCTATTTTTTGGTGCGAATAAAAATTCATTATGTGAATAAAAAATCAAAATGGAATTTATTTGTAAAGCCTCAAAACATAACTAATGAACAGAGGAAATGTTAGTTTAGTTCCAGGAATACCTACATTGTTTATTCTGGACCCTATTTTGAAATTGGAATATTTTGAACTTTGTGTTAAATTGGCCAAATTAACAATTTCCTATCACTTTAATTTGTAGTTGAAACAATTGACGTGGCGATTTCTTGTGCTCAATCGATAGAATAGAAGTAATACTAGTGAAATAGCTAAGAATTTGGTTGACTGGAATAATGTAATTGGCCTAAAATGGGAGTCAAAGTTGGCAAAATCGCCGATTCGTAAATATCGCTGACACATCAAAATTTGCGAGAGCATAATTTCATCAATTTTCCATCAAATTTCGTACTTTTTTTATTACCTTCACAAAAAGATTCTCTACCATTTCATAAGAAAAAATAACAAATTTTTTTTTTCGAAAATTCTTGGACACTGGGGCACCACTTCAGATTTGGGCCTTGGACCCTGAAGGGGTTAACTTGTTAATCTCACTCCAAAACTTCTTATTTTCAACAAAATTTGTTGATAACATCTCACCCACTCTCTCATTTGCTCTCTTTCTACATTGCTTCACCACTCTCTTAACCTCTCTTTTTCTCCATATACTCTTCCCTCCTTGCATCACTTCTACTTTGTAAAAAACTTCTCATATGCTAACTTTTTCTCCCTTACTACTATTTTTACATCATCATTCCACCAATCGCTCCTCTTCCCTCCCGCACCCACTTTCCTGTAACCACAAACTTCTGCTGAACACTCCAACACTACATTTTTAAACCTACCCCATACCTCTTCGACCCCATTGCCTATGCTCTCATTAGCCCATCTATCCTCCAATAGCTGTTTATATCTTACCCTAACTGCCTCCTCTTTTAGTTTATAAACCTTCACCTCTCTCTTCCCTGATGCTTCTATTCTCCTTGTATCCCATCTACCTTTTACTCTCAGTGTAGCTACAACTAGAAAATGATCTGATCTATCTGTGGCCCCTCTATAAACATGTACATCCTGAAGTCTACTCAACAGTCTTTTATCTACCAATACATAATCCAACAAACTACTGTCATTTCGCCCTACATCATATCTTGTATACTTATTTATCCTCTTTTTCTTAAAATATGTATTACCTATAACTAAACCCCTTTCTATACAAAGTTCAATCAAAGGGCTCCCATTTTCATTTACACCTGGCACCCCAAACTTACCTACCACACCCTCTCTAAAAGTTTCTCCTACTTTAGCATTCAGGTCCCCTACCACAATTACTCTCTCACGTGGTTCAAAGGCTCCTATACATTCACTTAACATCTCCCAAAATCTCTCTCTCTCCTCTAAATTCCTCTCTTCTCCAGGTGCATACACGCTTATTATGACCCACTTTTCGCATCCAACCTTTACTTTAATCCACATAATTCTTGAATTTACACATTCATATTCTCTTTTCTTCTTCCATAACTGATCCTTCAACATTACTGCTACCCCTTCCTTTGCTCTAACTCTCTCAGATACTCCAGATTTAATCCCATTTCTTTCCTCCCACCGAAATTCCCCTACCCCCTTCAGCTTTGTTTCGCTTAGGGCCAGGACATCCAACTTCTTTTCATTCATAACATCAGCAATCTGTTTCTTGTCATCTGCACTACATCCACGCACATTCAAGCATCCCAGTTTTATAAAGTTTTTCTTCTCTTTTTTAGTAAATGTCTACAGGAGAAGGGGTTACTAGCCCATTGTTCCCGGCATTTTAGTCGCCTCATACGACACGCATGGCTTATGGAGGAAAGATTCTTTTCCACTTCCCCATGGACAATAGAAGAAATAAAGAAGAACAAGAGCTATTTAGAAAAAGGAGAAAAACCTAGATGTATGTATATATATATGCGTGTGCGTGTCTGTGAAGTGCGACCAAAGTGTAAGTAGGAGTAGCAAGATACGTATCCCTGTTATCTAGCGTGTTTATTAGACAGAAAAAGAAACCAGCAATCTTACCATCATGCAAAACAGTTACAGGTTTCTGTTTCACAGTCATCTGGCAGGATGGTAGTACTTCCCTGGGTGGTTGCTGTCTACCAACCTACTACCTATATTATGGATTCATTTCTGTTCTAGGATCTTGTTCATAAGATCCTAGGAGGAAAACATATCTCTGATAAAATGCCCTAAGTGTTTGCCCACATGTCTTTAACCATCTGTCAGTATCAGTATCATATTTCAGGTTTTCAACATGAATTAATATGATGCTTTGATGTGAGTGTACATCCAACAAAGCTACTGGATGAGTATAGAAATTATCAAGAGTGAAGAGAACCTTGAATGCAAGGTGCTTTCTGTGCAGGTAAAATAATTTCAGGAACTAGTCAAAAAATAATTCCTCTGTCATCCATGCTGACTGGTTTGACCTCCAAAGAACTGGTAAAATGGTTTTAGCTACATCTTTCAGTGCACAGGAAGTCTTGGAGCAGTAAGTAACAATGGGCTTACACTTAAAATCACCTGCTGCATTACCGTAAAGGAGCAAGCGCCGAAGCAGTTCTTTACTGCCTTGAATCCTGGTGCCCTTTTCTCTTTCTGACTTTTGTAAGTTCTTGAAAGCATCCTCTTCTGGTAGTCTTGTCATGTCAGCATTAAACACTTCCTGTGTCTCATAGCCACCATCAGAAATAGTTTGAACTTTTGGAATTACCCTGTACTAAACAAGCACTCTTGTTTAGGCCTTCCTTATCACACACTGTTTTATAGCACTGTAAGGCTTTTTTCTTTATTAAGATGAACTTAAGTTGTTCACCTTTCTTGGTATTTTACTCGGTCCATTCACTCGAAACTTTTCCATCTTACTTAGCTGTTCTGACCTCTTTGTCATGCTTTTCAGGTCACAACCTGGGTAACTCATTGCTCAAGCTCGTAGCTTTGCTTCATTCTTCTTGTTCATACAAACTGATGGCTCATTCAGGCCATAAGCTCATTCTATATCAGTGGTATTCAGTACCGACAAGATGATGAATTAGACACATCTGGTATCTTTACTTGTACATGTTTAACCATCCAGTTGGATTATCAGTACAATACATGGACATAATATGAAGAAATATATACAGCAAAGAGTGGAAGTTGAGGTAAACAGTCCCTTAGCCTAGGAGCAGGTGGTGAGCACCGTAGTCTTAAAGAATCTGAAGCACAGGCAGGAAGATTGGTGCTTATATTTTGTTGTCAGATGAGGTGCAGCAGATGAAGGCATTGTCACTGGTAGGCAGGATTTTTCCAGTGGAAGCAGGTTATGCCCATGAGTTGGGCCAGGAATTGACAAGTAGGTTGTGGTATCCTCTGTATAAAGATCCCATGACGTTGCTGTACACAGGAAAGTGTAAAACTTGCTGTATTGAAGGAGTAATTCAGTTCAGGGTCTAAAAATACTTCTGAGGAATAATAGACACCATTTATTTTTCTACCAACCTACTACCTACAGGTAGTAGGTTGGTAGACAGCAACCACCCAGGGAAGTACTACCGTCCTGCCAGATGACTGTGAAACAAAAACCTGTAACTGTTTTGCATGATGGTAGGATTGCTGGTTTCTTTTTCTGTCTCATAAACACGCTAGATAACAGGGATTTCTTGCTACTCCTACTTACACTTTGGTCACACTTCACAGACACGCACATGCATATATATATATACATACATCTAGGTTTTTCTCCTTTTTCTAAATAGCTCTTGTTCTTTTTTATTTCTTCTATTGTCCATGGGGAAGTGGAAAAGAATCTTTCCTCCGTAAGCCATGCGTGTCGTATGAGGCGACTAAAATGCCGGGAGCAATGGGCTAGTAACCCCTTCTCCTGTATACATTTACTAAAAAAGAGAAGAAGAAAAACTTTATAAAACTGGGATGCTTAAATGTGCGTGGATGTAGTGAGGATGACAAGAAACAGATGATTGCTGATGTTATGAATGAAAAGAAGTTGGATGTCCTGGCCCTAAGCGAAACAAAGCTGAAGGGGGTAGGGGAGTTTCAGTGGGGGGAAATAAATGGGATTAAATCTGGAGTATCTGAGAGAGTTAGAGCAAAGGAAGGGGTAGCAGTAATGTTAAATGATCAGTTATGGAAGGAGAAAAGAGAATATGAATGTGTAAATTCAAGAATTATGTGGATTAAAGTAAAGGTTGGATGCGAGAAGTGGGTCATAATAAGCGTGTATGCACCTGGAGAAGAGAGGAATTTAGAGGAAAGAGAGAGATTTTGGGAGATGTTAAGTGAATGTACCAGAGTAATTGTGGTAGGGGACCTGAATGCTAAAGTAGGAGAAACTTTTAGAGAGGGTGTGGTAGGTAAGTTTGGGGTGCCAGGTGTAAATGATAATGGGAGCCCTTTGATTGAACTTTGTATAGAAAGGGGTTTAGTTATAGGTAATACATATTTTAAGAAAAAGAGGATAAATAAGTATACAAGATATGATGTAGGGCAAAATGACAGTAGTTTGTTGGATTATGTATTGGTAGATAAAAGACTGTTGAGTAGACTTCAGGATGTACATGTTTATAGAGGGGCCACAGATATATCAGATCACTTTCTAGTTGTAGCTACACTGAGAGTAAAAGGTAGATGGGATACAAGGAGAATAGAAGCATCAGGGAAGAGAGAGGTGAAGGTTTATAAACTAAAAGAGGAGGCAGTTAGGGTAAGATATAAACAGCTATTGGAGGATAGATGGGCTAATGAGAGCATAGGCAATGGGGTCGAAGAGGTATGGGGTAGGATTAAAAATGTAGTGTTAGAGTGTTCAGCAGAAGTTTGTGGTTACAGGAAAGTGGGTGCAGGAGGGAAGAGGAGCGATTGGTGGAATGATGATGTAAAGAGAGTAGTAAGGGAGAAAAAGTTAGCATATGAGAAGTTTTTACAAAGTAGAAGTGATGCAAGGAGGGAAGAGTATATGGAGAAAAAGAGAGAGGTTAAGAGAGTGGTGAAGCAATGTAAAAAGAGAGCAAATGAGAGAGTGGGTGAGATGTTATCAACAAATTTTGTTGAAAATAAGAAAAAGTTTTGGAGTGAGATTAACAAGTTAAGAAAGCCTAGAGAACAAATGGATTTGTCAGTTAAAAAATAGGAGAGGAGAGTTATTAAATGGAGAGTTAGAGGTATTGGGAAGATGGAGGGAATATTTTGAGGAATTGTTAAATGTTGATGAAGATAGGGAAGCTGTGATTTCGTGTATAGGGCAAGGAGGAATAACATCTTGTAGGAGTGAGGAAGAGCCAGTTGTGAGTGTGGGGGAAGTTCGTGAGGCAGTAGGTAAAATGAAAGGGGGTAAGGCAGCCGGGATTGATGGGATAAAGATAGAAATGTTAAAAGCAGGTGGGGATATAGTTATGGAGTGGTTGGTGCAATTATTTAATAAATGTATGGAAGAGGGTAAGGTACCTAGGGATTGGCAGAGAGCATGCATAGTTCCTTTGTATAAAGGCAAAGGGGATAAAAGAGAGTGCAAAAATTATAGGGGGATAAGTCTGTTGAGTGTACCTGGTAAAGTGTATGGTAGAGTTATAATTGAAAGAATTAAGAGTAAGACGGAGAATAGGATAGCAGATGAACAAGGAGGCTTTAGGAAAGGTAGGGGGTGTGTGGACCAGGTTTACAGTGAAACATATAAGTGAACACTATTTAGATAAGACTAAAGAGGTCTTTGTGGCATTTATGGATTTGGAAAAGGCGTATGACAGGGTGGATAGGGGGGCAATGTGGCAGATGTTGCAAGTGTATGGTGTAGGAGGTAGGTTACTGAAAGCAGTGAAGAGTTTTTACGAGGATAGTGACGCTCAAGTTAGAGTATGTAGGAAAGAGGGAAATTTTTTCCCAGTAAAAGTAGGCCTTAGACAAGGATGTGTGATGTCACCGTGGTTGTTTAATATATTTATAGATGGGGTTGTAAGAGAAGTAAATGCGAGGGTCTTGGCAAGAGGCGTGGAGTTAAAAGATAAAGAATCACACACAAAGTGGGAGTTGTCACAGCTGCTCTTTGCTGATGACACTGTGCTCTTGGGAGATTCTGAAGAGAAGTTGCAGAGATTGGTGGATGAATTTGGTAGGGTGTGCAAAAGAAGAAAATTAAAGGTGAATACAGGAAAGAGTAAGGTTATGAGGATAACAAAAAGATTAGGTGATGAAAGATTGAATATCAGATTGGAGGGAGAGAGTATGGAGGAGGTGAACGTATTCAGATATTTGGGAGTGGACGTGTCAGCGGATGGGTCTATGAAAGATGAGGTGAATCATAGAATTGATGAGGGAAAAAGAGTGAGTGGTGCACTTAGGAGTCTGTGGAGACAAAGAACTTTGTCCTTGGAGGCAAAGAGGGGAATGTATGAGAGTATAGTTTTACCAACGCTCTTATATGGGTGTGAAGCGTGGGTGATGAATGTTGCAGCGAGGAAAAGGCTGGAGGCAGTGGAGATGTCATGTCTGAGGGCAATGTGTGGTGTGAATATAATGCAGAGAATTCGTAGTTTGGAAGTTAGGAGGAGGTGCGGGATTACCAAAACTGTTGTCCAGAGGGCTGAGGAAGGGTTGTTGAGGTGGTTCGGACATGTAGAGAGAATGGAGCGAAACAGAATGACTTCAAGAGTGTATCAGTCTGTAGTGGAAGGAAGGCGGGGTAGGGGTCGGCCTAGGAAAGGTTGGAGGGAGGGGGTAAAGGAGGTTTTGTGTGCGAGGGGCTTGGACTTCCAGCAGGCATGCATGAGCGTGTTTGATAGGAGTGAATGGAGACAAATGGTTTTTAATACTTGACGTGCTGTTGGAGTGTGAGCAAAGTAACATTTATGAAGGGATTCAGGGAAACCGGCAGGCCGGACTTGAGTCCTGGAGATGGGAAGTACAGTGCCTGCACTCTGAAGGAGGGGTGTTAATGTTGCAGTTTAAAAACTGTAGTGTAAAGCACCCTTCTGGCAAGACAGTGATGGAGTGAATGATGGTGAAAGTTTTTCTTTTTTGGGCCACCCTGCCTTGGTGGGAATCGGCCAGTGTGATAATAAAAAAAAATATTTGTTTTTTGTGAGAGGTACAGTGCCTGCACTCTGAAGGAGGGGTGGAAATATATTGCAATTTTTTAACTAGTATTTTCATGCCTCTGGCAAGACAGTGATGGAATGAGTGATGATGAAAGTGTTTCTTCTCTTTTGGGTCACCCTGCCTTGGTGGGAATCTGCCAAAAAGTTAAAAAACAAAAGAAAAAGTTAGCATTGTTATATATTAACTTCAGGAATCATTTATCAAAAAGATTATCACAAAATATTTATTTTTCATATTTATGGGAGGTTCCTCCTGTAAATCTTACTAATAATAATATGTATTGTAATTGACAGCAAAAGGAAGAAAGATAAAGAATCTGGCGTGGCTCGTGGTATAGACTTCCAGTTCGTTTCCAACATCATCAATTTTGACTTTCCTCTTACTGTAAAGGGCTACATTCATCGTGTTGGACGCACTGCTCGAGGAAACAACCAGGGTACAGCTTTATCTCTGGTCTCTGTTAACGAAATGAAAACTTTCACAGAAGTAAGAGAAAAGTTGAAGGAGCTGATGCCCGAGGCTGAATCAGTGTTCAAGGATTTTAAGTTTGATATGAATCAGCTTGATGGTTTCAGGTAAATCTTTTCAGTGCACTCTGGTCAATTTCTTAATTTTTTTAATTTTGTCTTGCATTTCTCCTTTTATTCTTCTGGGAGCTCATTCAGTTTGCATGTATTTCAAAACACTGTGTGATTAAATTTATGTTAAATTTCAGTCTGTACAAAATGTGCTTTCTTAATATTTAAACTACCAATATATTTGATATTCTCAATTCTCCTTCTCAAAACACAAACATAATTTTATATCAAATTCATTGTCAATGAGTATGTTTTTCAGCAACCTAATTCACATATACTTTAACCTTTCCTCATTTGTTATATTATGTATTTATTTTTGTGAGTGAATGAACATAATGCCATGTGGTATGAGGAAGCTAAGCAGAAGTGGAATAAGGAAGTGGCAAGAACAGTTGATGATACAAGAAAAAAGTGAAGTAAAAGTTAGTCTGGTTACATGAAAAGGCTGGTATAGCTAAAATAAAAATATAAAAAAAGAAATGAAGATAGGAAAGGATTTTTTTTTTTCAAGAAGTGTTTTGGGGTAAGAAATATTATAATGAGGTGTATGGAGACTGAAGTGAATAAGAATACTAAGAGTAAGAATGAGAATATTATCTAATAAAGAAATCCAAAATAGATGAAGGGAGTAATTTTAGTATCTGGTGTTTTGTTTTGTATTTTCAATGACCTGGCTGCATCCCACCGTGGCAGGATGACCTTAAAAGAAGAACTAAAGTTTCTCTTTTTAAATTTAGTAATGTATACAGGAGAAGGGGTTACTAGGCCCTTGCTCCTGGCATTTTAGTCACCTCTTATGATACGCATGGCTTATGGAAGAAGAATTCTGTTCCACTTCAGCATGGAGATATCAGATCGTTATAGCTGATAAAAAAAAATACAAATATAAGAAGTGTCATTGCAATTTACAGCATTGACTGATGTGTAGATTTATTTTTTGACTTAATAAAAATTAACCTAAAGTTAAGCTGTAGCTTATTAGGAAAAATAATTCTTGCCAAATATGTTACCAAGTTGTTGTTCTTTCAACAAACCAGCCATATCCCACCAAAGCAGGGTGCCCCAAACGGAAAAACGAAAGTTTCTTTTAAATTTAGTAATATATACAGGAGAAGGGGTTACTAGTCCCTTGCTCCCAGCATTTTAGTCGCCTCTTACGATACACATGGCGTACAGGGGAAGAATTCTGTTCCACTTCCACATGGACGTAGGAAATGAACAAGAACTAGTAAGAAAATAGAAGAAAACTCAGAGGGGTGTGTATGCTTGTACATGCATGTCTAGTGTGACCTAAGTATAAGAAGAGGTAGCAAGACATACCTGAAATCTTGCATGTTTATGAAACGGAAAAATGACACCAGCAATCCTACCATCATGTAAAACAATTACAGGCTTCTTTTTTTACTATCACTTGGCAGGGCAGTAGTACCTTCCTAGGCAGTTGCTGTCTACCAACCTACTACCTAGGAAGTTACTAAGTTATGTTTAAAAATATATTTAGAGAATTAAGAAAATATATCCAGGATTATTATTATTTTCTGTGATAAAATAAGGTTTTGCTTTAGTTTTAACCCAGTGGGTTATCCACCCAGGATAACCCAATAAAGTCTGTGTCATCAGGGACTGTCTTGCATTTCCTTTGGTGGGTCCTTTAATCTTGTCCCCCAGGATGTGACCAACAATAGTTGGGTAATACCCAGGTATCTACTTACTGCTAGGTGAATAGAAGCAGCAGATGTAAGGAAACATGCCCAGTGCTTCACCTGTGCCAGGGATCAATCCCGGACCCTCTGTGTGAGAGCTGAAGATGCTAGCAATCAAGTTAAGTTGTTTAGATATAACCAACTGTGAGCAGCTCTCAGTTATTTTGCACGACTTATTTTTCTACCACCAGTCATCCAAAGTACCCAGAACTCACCACATGGGGGTGACTGCTCTTCAAGTTCCTATATTTAGAATTAAAATAACATTACAGTAATTTAACATTTGATTAGGTCTGGATTCTTGTGTGTTTATTATGAACTATTTTTTAATCATCACGTTGATTGGGATAAAAAATGTTAATACTGTATTTCGTGGGTTATAAGACACATTTTTTTTTTCCATAAAATGTCTGCAAAAACCACCCTGCATCCTATAAACTGAAGGTCATTGATGGGAGCTATAAGTTTGGGGTGCGGGGTGGGCTGTAGTTCTCCCAGTTGTCTGGCGCAGAGCCATTGAAACTAAAACAAGTCTTGTAAGCTGCAAAATATGGTGTATTTTCAAGAAATACATCCTTTTTAATTATGTATAGTTATGTTGAAGAGACTAGGTAGTAGGTTGGTAGACAGCAACCGCCCAGGGAGGTGCTACCGTTCTGCCAAGTGAGTGTAAAACGAAAGCCTGTAATTGTTTTACATGATGGTAGGATTGCTGGTGTTCATTTTTCTGTCTCATAAACATGCAAGGTTTCAGGTACGTCTTGCTACATCTACTTACACTTAGGTCACACTACACATACATGTACAAGCATATATATATACACACCCCTCTGGGTTTTCTTCTATGTTCTTACTAGTTCTTGTTCTTGTTTATTTCCTCTCACCTCCATGGGGAAGTGGAACAGAATTCTTCCTCCGTAAGCCATGCGTGTTGTAAGAGGCGACTAAAATGCCGGGTGCAAGGGGCTAGTAACCCCTTCTCCTATATATATTACTAAATGTAAAAGGAGAAACTTTCGTTTTTCCTTTTGGGCCACCCTGCCTTGGTGGGATACAGCTGGTGTGTTGAAAGAAAGAAAGATGATGTTGAAGAAATTATATCTGAATCTGAGGTAAAACTGAACATACTCTCCTGTTGTATGTTACTGTTGAATATTCAGTGTTATCCATGCACTTCTGGCAAGACAGCTGTTGAATGAGTGCCAGTGATTGTTTCCTTTCTTGAGGTCACTCTGCTTTGCTGGGAAAGGGATGTTGTAAAAAAAAAAAAAAGTTTTAAGATTGTATTTCTATAGTCAATATCTTTGCATTTTTGTAGTGTACTGCTTCCTATTTTGTAATTTTTAAGTTCCTATTTGCCATTTTAAATTTAACTTTTTTCTCTACTCTTTTCTAGATATCGGGCTCTGGATGCTTGGAAACGTTGCACTTCAATCGCTGTTAGAGAAACAAGGCAGAAAGAGCTTAGACAGGAGTTGCTTAATTCTAATAAACTAAAAAGTTTTTTTAAGAACAACCCAAGAGATTTTCAGATTCTTCGACATGACAAATCTAAGCATGGATTAACTCCTATGGTAAAGTAAACAAAATTTTGTCTCAGATTTTGTGTATAAATTGTATGAAACTGAATGATTTAGTAGTGGATGTTGATAGGTGAGGAGGGGAGGTGGAATGGGAAGGATGAGGAGTCAAAGTAGTGTATAGTAGAAGGAGGGAGATGGAAGTGGAGAGGAGAGAGTGAGAGAGATAGAGAGAAACAAGAATGAGAGCAAGTGAAAAATTGAAAAGATGTGTTGAATATTATCTGGTACTGTCATTCTCTGTCTCACATTCCCTAGGATAGTTATTGTACCTGTTTATTAAATATTTGTTGCTACATGATAGAGCTACTTTGGGGGTGCAATGTCTACTTTTAATTACTTTAATTCATAATATTTTTTAAACATGAGAAATTGTTGCATGGCACTTTCTCCTGGAACTCTTTCCTTTAGACATCCACTCAAAATACTTTTTGCAGTTTTTTTTTTTTTTTGTACATCAGTTCTTTTACTACTTGCCTTGCATCAGAATACAGTATTTTTTTTTTTTAACAATATTAATTTTAAAATAATCCTTTGATTTTTAACATACATACATGCAGAGTGCTAGTGCTCCCTAGTCAAAATAGGCAGATGAATAATTTTTACTTTGTATCCTTTAGAATTATGTAATTATTATTATTATTATTATTATTATTATTATTATTATTATTATTATTTTTATTATCATCATTATGTTTTACTGCACAGCACTTTTCTTTCTTGTGCATGCTGCAGTAAAGGCAAGCTTACGCACTTAGCCATGTACTTATACAAGTATAAGTACATGTATTAAAAAATATTATTACTTCCCATCTAGGGTCACTTGAAGCACGTACCGGAATACAACATTCCTGTGAAGTTACGGAGAGTATCAAGGATAACTAAGAAGAAATTTAACAAGAAAGTCTCAAAACTAGAAATTGAAAAGACCAAATTAAAAAGAATAACAAAAACACAGAAGAAATATATGGTAAAGTTTAATATTTTTTTATGCTAGGAAGTAAAATTGCATTTGTGAAATTAAGACTATTTAATTACAGGAACCTAAGAACTGCTGATGAGTCATTATTTATATGCATCATATGTTATAATAGCCCATTGACTGCTTCTTACCAAAATAGGGTGATTTAATGAGGAAAATAGACCCAGCATCACCATATATTAATCTCTTGCATGACAGCACTGCCTCCAGTCTCCACTCTTAGATACATTCATTTCTTCTATACTTCTTTTCAGTCTGACATCTCTCTAATTGCCTAGTCCTCTCCTCTTTAACTTATTCTTTTGTCTATCATTTTTAACCACGTCCTACATACTTCCCACTAACCTTTGTAACCTTTGAGTCTCGCAAAATATACACATATATATCTCTGTTTTTCCAGAAAAGAAAAGCTGACCCTTTGCAGAGTATGGAGTTTTCTGGATTCAAGAAGCAGAAAACTTGATTTTTTGTTGTTGTAAATAAAGCATTTATTCTTTAAGCATGGAACATTTATATAAAACTGTGAATACAACAATTCTTGTAATGCGTTATTACAGAAGCTAATATTAGAGATAATTGTACATAGGGAACACTAATAATTTCAACAACTTGACTGGTCAAGACTGCCGAGATCAGAGAATGGAGGATCGAACCTCCATCATGAATGATCCTACAGATTTAGTGCTTCATGTAATGTAACTTATGTGGATATCTTGATCAGTTTCCCCTGTACTTTGTATAAGTAGGAGTAGTCAGTCTACTATGTTGCTATTGAAAATATCCCTATACATTTAAATAGGAAATGTATATAGAGTTATAATAAAATTAAGCTTATGGCTGGATATTACTACCATGCTCCTCTTTGAATATTCTCCTGCAAATTATATAGTTTTACAATTTTTAAGGAAATCTAAAGTTTTCTGGTATATACAGTATTTTAAATTTTTTTTTATCGGTCATTCATCAGGTGGTTTTTGTCAGCCCTGCAATGCCATATATACACTAAAGAGGAATTCTTGTTTCTTGTCCAGACCAGAGCTTTGGTGAGATGGGTAAGGAAGAAGGATGGGTAAGGATAGAAATTTTGGAAAAGGGTGGGAGGGGGGAGAGAGGTAGGATATAAAAGGTAAGTGGCCCAACCACTTTGGTGTAATTTAAAAAGTGTACGTGAAATGATAAGATATTCTTTAAGGGGTATAAGACTAACCCATCAGAGTCACATAGATATATATAAGTACATGACTCTGAATTGGTAGTAATTATACAAGTTGCAATTGCTTTTTTTTTTTTTTTGCGATTGTACAACGGATATTTATGTGCCAATGAAGGCAATAATTTTCTGGCCAGTTTATAGAATTACGTGACAATGGCTTCTTACAGGTGGTGTCCAGCCATAGTAAATAGCATAATTTTTACATTAGATTGTTATACAAGATTTCTCCCTAATTGGGGGCGATGATGTTCTCAATATACATAGAAGGGTTCTGGTGTTACCCAATCTTCTTCATCAGGGAGGTTGCTCAATATCATGGGTCGATGGTAATCAACTTTATGTATAAAACGACGGACCCTCTGTGGGAGAGTCATTCTTTGAGTCCTGTGAGGAGGAGTATTGATGATATAATCCGTGGTATTTACCACTTGTATAGGATGTTCTCTATCTGGCATGTATAGTTCTTGCATTGTATAGAGTTGTTTCTTTTTTTAGGGTGTCAAGGCGTACATTTATGGCAGTAATATCTTGCTGTATGTGTAAATCTGCCATTTTAACTCTGTCTCTCCTTCTGGTATCGGTAATGAAGCGAAGAGCTCTATTCTGGACCCTTTGTAACCGTAGCATGTTGGTCTTTGTTGTTAATGACATTGGGACACAAGGGTATTCGAGTATAGGTCGTATTAACATTTTATACAGATGGTTTTTGACATGTTGAGGGGCTTAATTGAATCGAAAGAGACTGCTAAGACCGGCTTTGGCTATGTTGATCTTTTTAGTTACATGAGATGTTGAGTGGAGCAGCCTGTCTATTTCATATCCCAAAATCTTGTTAGGGTTTCTAATGGCTACAGGTGTACCTCTGATGGAGATACCCCCTTTATCTTCAATTGTTGATGCAAAACATCCTATCGTGCTAACAAGGACCTTGTCAGGATTAGTCGTAATTCTCCATTTCTTTTTCCAATTGAGTGTTCGACGAAGTTCAATATTCATTTTTTCTATGACTCTCTCATACTTGTATTTTCCTGTACCGGAGTTGATGAGACGACATGAATAACATCATCTGCAAACTGTGTCACAATTGTATCATTAAACCTGGTTGAGGAAGGTCATTCACATAAATGTTGAACAGAAGTGGACTGAGACAAGAACCTTGTGGGACACCAGCTGTCGGTATAAAAGGCTCTGCCAACCTGCCATGAAAGGTGGGAATGATTTTTCTTTGAGTTAAGAAATTATATATTACTCTGAGAAAAGTCCAGTTATGGTCTGGTAGGTCAATGAGTTTGTATATAAGGCCATCATGCCATAAGCTATCAAAAGCTTTATGAACATCTCTGGTGGCAATTAAGGCAAGATTGCCCTGATGTTTTAGACTTGCTACAGTATCAAAAATAACATTTATTGCATGATGGGTACCTCTGTGTGTTCTAAAGCCAAATTGTTTTTCAGTAAAAAAGTTATTAAACTCCATATAGTAGTTCAATCTGTTGGAAATGACCTTCTCAAGAACTTTTCCAGTGACTTCAAGTAAAGATATAGGTCTATAGTTCCCAGGTTGGTGGATGTCTTTATTGGGCTTACCAAGAAAGATCATCCTAGCAGTCTTAAAAACAACTGGAAAATGTCCTGAGGCCAAGATGGCATTAAAGATATTTACCAAAGACTGTTTACAATTTCTGGGTAGGAACTTTATTTGTTTCATTGTTATTCCAGAGAGGCCAGGGGCTCTATTTCGCATTCTTCCAATAACCTGACTCATCTCTAGTAATGTAATAGGTCTAGTAAGTGGGTGGGTATCTTCAAGAGTTGAAGTATCGATGGAAGGTAGTGGTTGTAGATCATCCAAGTTCTCATCTCTCCATTCATTTACCAACTGATAATGATTATTGTTAAATTGATGACTGTTATTGTGAGAGAATTTTCTCCCATACATCACCCATCAAATTAGCCTGGTCCTGTGGATCGTCAAGTTTAATTTCAACATCCTCATCATCCTCATCAGTGAAGGTATGAACTAGGTAGTTAGGAGCCTTGTGCTTTTCCCCTAAAAGTTGTCGGATCTTACTCCAAAATTTTGCTGGTTCACGTTTATACTGATTCGCTTGAAGAACTAGCAATTTCCATAAGTCCCGTTTGTGATGACTAATCATGTTAATTAATTCTTGCCATAATCGGTGCAGTGTAGCTACTGGCGGTTGTCGCGTTTGAAGATGCCTTCGACATTCTGCTTGATAATTTCTTAAATTGTCTCTAATTTCCCTAGTAGGTTTATATTGTTGGTATATCTTTGTGGAAGCTAATTGACAAGTTGCATTAGTAGCTTCAATTATTCGATTATGCAGGGACCTGATTGCCTCATCAATTGCAGTGGAAGGTAGATTTTCCAATGACACAATTTCATCGTCACCCAGAAATGCCCTGAAGGGGTCAAATCCTAGGGTGTTAAGATTGGGTTTAGGAGGTACAGGTATTCTAAATGGAGAAGTTTGTAGTTGTATTATAACAGGAATATGGTCAGATCCTACGTTTCCACCAGGAGATATACGACAGTGAAAGATGTCACAGTCTCTGTTTGTCAGTACTATATCTGGTGTCCCTGGATGAGGTCCAATGTACGATTTAAAGAATGGGCCTTGAAATGACAAGTTTCTAACTGTCATGATATTAAATAGTTGTTTTCCTTTTAAGTCACCCAGTGGAATACCAGCTCCACAATTGAAGAGGGCAGGGTGATGAGCATTAAAATCTCCTGCTAGAATTGTTGGAATATTTCTTCTTAATATCCTACGTAGAGGAATTGACTCTATATATTGTTGTCTCGGGGGAAAATATCCAGTTACTATCACTAGTTGTCCATGAGACGTTGTCATTTCTATTGCAAGAATGTTATCTTCATCAACATGAATATTTTTAAATTATTATTTTTTTTATTATCACACTGGCCGATTCCCACCAAGGCAGGGTGGCCCGAAAAAGAAAAACTTTCACCATCATTCACTCCATCACTGTCTTGCCAGAAGGGTGCTTTACTTTTAAATGTATGGCTTAATTTAACTAAGATGGCTACACCACTAAAGGGTCCTCTCGATTTCTCCACAGTAGAGTAACCACGTAATTTAATATGTTGATCAACTCTTGCAGCTGTCTCGTTCAAGAGTATAACATCGGGATTGTAATTATGTAGTTCAACCTCAAGGAGGTAACGGTTATTAAAGAAATGTTGAACATTAAGTTGGAAAATTGTAATCCCCATTATTTCTTGCACTTCGCTCGTGTACTGCGGTCTGAACGCCTGCAAGTAATGTCATGTTTGTTATCCACACTATCCCTGCTGGACTCGTCAAGGGGAGGAGGGAACTTCTGCGTAGATTGCTTGTGTATTAAAAATGCCATCATCTCACTAGAGGTGGTAATATTAACAGACTCATTAGAATAGTTAGAGTCCTCATCAGAAAACTGAGGTATGATATTCCCAGTTACAGGAAGCAGAGGCTCGTGAGAGTTAATGGGAGACTGTGGAGGCTCCAAGGGAAAATTAGGTAGGCAAGGTGAGTTACCCTGGGAAAGTTCCTGTTCAACAGGATCAGCTTCAATAGCGGGAGAGTAGGCACCAATTTCTGGGCATTGTTATGTTCAGGTGTTGACTTATCGGGTTGAGGGAATTGACAACCTGGGTATGCGAGGTGGGCGATCCCTGGGCCAGGGATGACTTAGGCTTATTTTTAGATGTAGAGTAGGGTACATACTTCTTGTTATGAGAAGGCTGGGTCATAATAGCCTTCACATTTTCTGGGATAGTGATGGGAATGATCCCATTAGCCATTAACAGATCATTTAAAACCTGAGAGCAGAGTTGAATGTCACCACCTGCTATGTCTTTGGCCATCATATACATTAGTTGTGCTCTCGTCATATCCCCGGCTGTGGATACCTGAGACATAGGAGACGAGACTGAACCTTGTTGTTGCGTTTGTGTATGTTGTAGGTTAGGGTTAGATTGGGGTGCTCCAAGAGGGGCAGAATTCCAAACATTGGAACCATTGGTAGAGACCTGAGGAGTCCCACTTGATCCAGGCAGAGCTGGGAAGGAAGTTTGGGACATCGTTGGCGGTGCCTGGGGAGTGGTCTTCTTAGAAGTGGACAGTTTCTTGGCTTCAATACTTTTCTGCATTTCCTTTTTCCTTTCAGGACAAATAGCAGAAACAGCATGATGTTTTCCGTTGCAGAGGACACATTTGGGTGTATTTTTATTATTACAATCTCGACAAGAATGTTGGCCAGAGCAAATGCTACAAATCTGCCCTTGAGTACTGCATTTGTTGGTGTTATGACCAAAGGCATAACACTTAAAACATTGTGTCACACTGACAAATCGTTCAAGAGAGATTTGATCAGATGTACATCTGGTGCCAAAACATTTGAAGCCATTTTGACACAAGTTTGGCCTCCTCAGGTGTCTCAAGTATTAACTTTAAGGTTACCTTGTTGTTGTTAGGATTAGAGAATTTATGTGCTGCTACAGCGCTAAATTCAGAATTCTCTGTATTAAAGTCCTCAACAATTTCATTCACTGTGCTATGTTTCATGAAACTGTTGATTCTGGCCACAAACACAGTCCTCTGAGCTTGATAGCTCTCAGGTGCAACTGGGGTAACACCAGAAGTCTTCAGTTTATCCAGGACATCATGCTTCAGCAGTTGAAGTAACTCTTCTTCCGAAGAGAGGAGAAGTACTGCTCCAGCGTGGGTCTGAAAAACATCCACTGGAGCAACAGTTGAGTTCGAGCAAATACATGCTAGAATTTCTTTCATCGACATTTGATTTCCATCAATACGTAATCTTACTCGTATCCTTGCCATGATGTCTAGGAAGGAACATCTGGCAGAGGAGTTTCTTAACAAAAAGGGCACTTTCCTTGATGTTATACTAGCATCCTATTTCAGCTGACTTATGAAGGTCAGCCCCTAAGATAGCCTACCCTTGAGTGGTGAGGGGGAAAGGGCCCAAGGCAAAGATCGGCCGGATTTTAAAAAACCACACGGGCTACCGGATGGTCAAAATGCCTTGTGTTAACTCGCCAAAGCGAAGTTGCCGAAAAAGAAGAAGATAGGAAAGTCAGAAGGATAGCAATGTATGTAGTGTGTTAGTGTGTGGGCCAGTGTTGATGTTTGGGTGAAGGGAGGATGGGGGGATGGGGATGAGGGGTGAACAAGCAAGCAAGTCACCGCCTTACCCTCTTGATAGGATGGGGCTCGAAGTGACTGCAAGCAAGTTTCCTCTCAGCTCTGGTGAAGAACTACTCAGGATAACCCAAGAAAAATCTCGAGCAACAGTGTTCAGAGTTGCTCAGCTGAAGAGCAGGAATGACGACGTCTTCTCTCCACGGTGGCTGGGCTGCTCTTACTAAAGAGGAATTATGTAATTGTGCCTTGGTAATAATAATTGTTAAAATTGTAAAATATATATAATTTTAGATTGAATTTTTTTTTTACCTGCCTCTGAAATTGCTTCACATTAAGTTTGAAATAATTTTTTTTAATATATTGGGTGTAAATTTTTAGCACTATTATTGTTTTTTAACACAGGCCATCTACTACTTAGGCAGGGGTGACCCGAAAAAGAAACTCTCTCCATCATTTACGCTATCACTGTCTTGCCAGAGGCATGTAGATACAACAGTTTAGATGCCCCTCTAGACAGCAAATATCCCAAACCCCTCCTTCAGAGTGCAGGCTCTGTAGTTAAGAGAGCTCTACAGTCATTCACTCTTTGCAGTTCACTGTTGAAAATAATAGTTTAATTTAAATGTTATATAAAATGTTCAAATACAGTGGTACCTCGGTACACGAACAGCTCTCAACTCGAACAATTATGTAAGTATATTTTTGTAAGTGTATTTTTGGGGATCTGAAACGGATTATTCTAATTTACATTATTCTTTATGGGAACAAATTTGTTTGGTATCGGCACTCGAACAGCCTTCTGGAACGAATTAAGTTCATAACCCAAGGTACCACTGTATTTTCTGCCATAGACACCAAAATGTAAGAAGTGCTCTTAATTTAGTGGAATAATTTTTTATATTGGCAGTTTGGAGGGATATGTTGTGTATCTTTATACGTATATGCTTCTAAACTGTTGTATTCTGAGCACCTCTGCAAAAACAGTGATAATTTGTGAGTGTGGTGAAAGTGTTGAATGATGAAAGTATTTTCTTTTTGGGGATTTTCTTTCTTTTTTGGGTCACCCTGCCTCGGTGGGAGATGGCCGACTTGTTGAAAAAAAAAAAAAATTTTGCAGCCTCTGAAGAGAAGTTGCAAAGGTTGGTGGATGAATTTGGAAGGGTATGTACAGGAAGGAAATTAAAAGTGAACACTGGAAAGAGCAAGGTTATGATATAGATAACAAAAAATTTAGGGAATGAAAGATTGGATATCAGATTGGAGGGAGAGAATATGAAGGAAGTGAATGTGTTCAGATATCTGAGAGTGGACTTGTAAGCAGATGGGTCTATGAAAGATGAAGTGAACCATAGAATAGAGGAGGGAAAAAAGGAGAGTGGTACATTGAGGCATCTGTAGAGAGACAACGTTATCCATGGAGGCAGTAAGGGGAATATATGAGAGTATAGTAGTACAGATGCTCTTATATGGGTGTGAGGCATGGGTTTTGAATATTACAGAAAGGAGGAGGGCGGGGGCAGTGGAGATGTCATGTTTGAGGACAATGTGTGGTGTGATTATGCAGAGAATTTGTAACTTTGAGATTAGGAGGTGCAGGGTTACTAAAAGTATTATCCTGAGGGCTGAAGAGGGGTTGTTGAGAGGTTCAGACATTTAGAGAGGATGAAACAAAAGAGGATGACTTGGAGGGCATATATATCTGTAGTGGAGGGAAGGTGGGGTAGAGGTTGTTTTAGGAAAGGTTGAAGTGGGGAGGGGAGGGTTTAAGGAGGTTTTATGTGTGAGAGGTCTTAGACATCCAGCAAGCATGTTAGACAAGAATGAGTGAAGGCAAATGATTGTTACGACGACATACTGTTGGAGTGTGAGCAAGGTAACTTTCATGAAGGCAATCAGGAAAACCAGTTAGCTGAAGTACAGTGCCTGCATTCGGAGGAAGTGGTAGGGACATTTGCAGTTTTTGAACTGTAGTATTAGCACCTTTATGGCAAGACAGTGATGGTGAAAGTGTTTCTTCTTTATCAGGTCACCCTGCCTCAGTGGGAGATGGCCAGTCTGTTGAAAAAGCAAACAAACTAAGTGCTAAACCTGAAAGGGTGGGATGTGCTAAAAAACCATGAATATGCAAAGGTCAGAGATCAGTGTGAAGGAGGTAGAGTTAGTGAGGATAGTGGGGAGTGCTAAAGAAAAAATGTAATCAAAGTTGGTGTAATGAGTTAAATTTTGATAAAAAAGTCAAAAAGGGAGTCTTTTTAACAATGGGACTTTTGTCAGAGTCAGGTAAAATAAGTAGATTAGGGCAATGAAGGTGTTGGAAGTAAATTCTCTATACTTGCTGATAGACAGGACAGTCTATTAAGAGACAGTGAACTGATAACTTGGCAGTTCTCACAAAGTAGTGTTGAGCACTTTTCCATGAGATACCCACTAGTGAGATGTGTGTGTCCAATACATAGGTGAGAAAATGCAATCTCATCTCCCAAACATGACAGCAATGGTAAGATGATCAGAAACCCAAATATGGTTTGACAGAATGTAGTTTGTTGTGGGGCAACTCAGATCACCGTTGTTGCCATCGGTAACAAAGCTGTCTAGTGATTACTGCAAAATAATTCAAGAAAGGAATACCCCTGCATGAAATAAGGTCATGAACTGCTGACTGAGCAGCAGTCTGTCTACATGTTGCCCTGAACATCCACATGTCCAGAGGCCCAGCAAAAAACAATGTTTTTGTTTACTTGAAATGTAGTTTAATTGAAGTTGTATATGCAAAACAATGGGATGAGGGGAATCAAATTTCTGAATAGCCTATAATGCTTTACAAGAGTGAAACTACTACAAATGTTGAGGTAGGCATTAATGCAACAGGTGTGATGGCCATAAGAATTGCATACAACTCTGCTAAAAATATTTGCCGAGTCTAATAAGTGACCTTGTATAAACTGCTGCATGCCCAGAAAACTGCTGTGTACCTGATGCCTTTAGATGATTTAGAACCATCAGTGTAGACTTCATTGGTATGAGAATGAGAATGGAAGTGGTTATGAAAGGGTGAGCATGAAGCTATAGTAAGTAATTAAGCTTTGCTTATGGAAGTGGGGAAGAATAGACATGAATCGTCAGAACTTCCCAAAAAGGAAGGGAAGAAATGGGTATAAATTTGTATATAAAGCACTTAAGGTACAAGGAAATAATGAAATGCATTGATAATCAAACACACTTAACTTTTACTAAAATATGATGATTAATGTGCAATGGAAGTCCCTGGAATATCTACTAATATTCTAAATCATGTAATTTACAAGCATGTTATTTATAATGCTGTGTTTTCCACAGAACTACTGTTTTGTGTTTGTCCTTTGCTACTTAGGGCTGGTTTATCAATAAAAGATCCCACAGAGATATCATAATCTTTTTCTGTGGCAAGAGTTGATGTTGTGGGTAAACTTTTATTGGCCTCTCCTTGGATGACATCAGAACATGTTGACTGTTGATTGTTCATGTCATTGACTTCATATATTGATGATAAAGCTTCTTTCTCAAAGTACTCTTGAATCTGTTCAAGAGTTTTTCCCTTTGTCTCTGGAACACAGATGAAAGAGATGATGCAGCATGTGAGACAGAGGGCACCAAAGACAGCAAACACTGTGTGTGCACCAGCTGCCTCTTCAAAGAATGGGTAAACCTGTACAATATAAAAAGAAAAAAAAAATTTTATATCCCTCATTTAGTCTGAAGTGTTTTGTGCTACACATACAAGAGACTGACATGTTTTTAACAAGATCATGCATAATGTGTATTTTTCTTGACTTTAAACATAGCTGTGTACAGAATTATGCATATGAATTGTGGCATAGGTTTACTAAATTATAAATATATTTTCAAAGTAATGCAGTGAACTTCAAAACTTACCTGTATGACAGTAAAGTTAAGGAAGCGATTGTAGAAGAGTGTGACAGCATTGGCAGTAGACCTGATGGTGGTGTTGAAGAGCTCGGCAGACAAAAGCCAGGGAATTGTACGGCATCCCAGACAGTAACCAAACACTGCTACTAGTACAGTGATCAGTGGCACCCATCTTGGCCAGAAGTTGCCCATGACATTGTGTACATAGTAATATACCCCAAGCATCAGTGTTGCTGTACCCATTACTGCAGTTGAAATTATAATCATGGGTCGGCGTCCAGCACGATCCATCATTATAACAGACAATAATGTACCAACAATCTGAACTAAACCTGCATACACGGTTGCCATATTGTGGTCTGCAACACCTGCTGAGATAAAGATTGTTCCTGTGTACATAATGAGGATATTACCACCACTGGCTTGTTGAAGAGTCATCATAAAGAGGGCTATTAGAAATGGCCTTCGAGTACGTGGTCGCCACAACTCTCTAAATTCTAATTTCTTTCCTACCAATAACATTTTGGCTTCCATCTCGGCAATTTCTTTTGAAAAATCATAATTTGGTCCTCTTAACCATCTTAAAGATGCTTCAGCATCAGCTTTTTTTCCTTTGATTAAGAGCCAGTAAGGCGACTCAGGAACGAGCATTATGGCAGCAAACGTAAGGAGGCAGGGAGCACCACAAATGTAGCAGCTAATTCGCCAGGGAAAGCAGGCACCTGCCACATATGAGAGCACAACACCAAATGTAAGAAATAATGAAGACAATGTACCTAGTGCACCTCGCACTTTAGCCTCTGGAGTTTCACTGCAGTAGACCTGGAAGATAAATAATGACTTGGTTTTTAATGTACTGTATGGTGCTGTACTGTAAAATTTTAGTAAAAATGTTGCTTCATACAAATTTTTATTTACACTATCTCTCACAGTCTGAGCATATTGCATGAATAAAGAATGTCTTGTCTCACTTAGCCTCTCAAGGGAGGTTTCTTGATGCCGGTGAAGGGTTCTTGATCTAAGAATATGAATCTGTCTGCTCCTTCCCTGTATCAAACCTAACTGCCTCCCATTCCTCCAGGCACTGTTATGACTTCTATGTGTTTAGCATTTCCCCGTAAATATACTATATATATATACACGTATATACGTGTTTTATTTTTTTTCAACAAGTCGGCCATCTCCCACTGAGGCAGGGTGACCCAAAAAAGAAAGAAAATCCCCAAAAAGAAAATACTTTCATCATCATTCCTTTCACCTCACTCACACATAATCACTGTTTTTGCAGAGCTGCTCAGAATACAACAGTTTAGAAGCATATACGTATGAAGATACACAACATATCCCTCCAAACTGCCAATATCCCAAACCCCTTCTTTAAAGTGCAGGCATTGTACTTTCCATTTCCAGGATTCAAGTCCGGCTATATAAAAATAACCGGTTTCCCTGAATCCCTTCACTAAATATTACCCTGCTCACACTCCAACAGCTCGTCAGGTCCCAAATACCATTTGTCTCCATTTTCTCCTATCTTACATGCTCATGCATGCTTGCTGGAAGTCCAAGCCCCTCCCCCACAAAACCTCCTTTACCCCCTCCCTCCAACCTTTTCGAGGAAGACCCCTACCCCGGCTTCCATCCCCTACAGATTTATATGCTCTCCATGTCATTCTACTTTGATCCATTCTCTCTAAATGACCACACCGCCTCAACAACCCCCTCTTCAGCCCTCTGACTAATACTTTTATTAACTCCACACCTTCCCTAATTTCCACACTCCGAATTTTCTACATAATATTCACACCACACATTGCCCTTAGACAGGACATCTCCTCTGCCTCCAACCACCTCCTCGCTGCAGCATTTACAACCCAAGCTTCACACCCATATAAGAATGTTGGTACTACTATACTTCCATATATTCCCGTCTTTGCCTCCGTAGATAACGTTTTTTGTCTCCATATATACCTCAACGCACCACTCGCCTTTTTTCCTTCATCATCAGTTCTATGATTAACCTTATCCTTCATAAATCCATCCGCTGACATGCCAACTCCCAAATATCTAAAAACATTTACTTCTTCCATACTCTTCCTCCCCAATTTGATATCCATTTTTTCTTTATCTAAATCATTTGATACCCTCATCACCTTACTCTTCTCTATGCTCACTTTCAACTTTATACCTTTACACACACTCCCAAACTCGTCCACTAACCTTTGCAATTTTTCTTTAGAATCTCCCATAAGCACAGTATCATTAGCAAAAAAGTAACTGTGTCAATTCCCATTTTGTATTTGATTCTCCATAATTTAATCCCACCCCTCTCCCAAACACCCTAGCATTTACTTCTTTTACAACCCCATCTATAAATATATTAAACAACCATGGTGACATTACACATCCCTGTCTAAGACCTACTTTTACCTGGAAGTAGTCTCCCTCTCTTCTACATACCATAACCTGAGCCTCACTATCCTCATAAAAACTTGACAGCATTCAGTAACTTACCACCTATTCCATATGCTGGCAACATCTGCCACATTGCTCCCGTATCCACTCTATTATATGCCTTTCCTAAATCCATAAATGCAATAAAAACTTCCCTACCTTTATCTAAATACTATTCACATATATGCCTCAATGTAAACACTTGATCTACACATCCCCTACCCACTCTGAAGCCTCCCTGCTCATCCGCAATCCTACATTCTGTCTTACCTCTAATTCTTTCAATAATAACCCTACCGTACACTTTTCCTGGTATACTCAGTTAACTTATTCCTCTATAATTTTTACAATATCTTTTGTCCCCCTTCCCTTTATATAAAGGGACTATACATGCTCTCTGCCAATCCCTAGGTATCTTTCCCTCTTTCATACATTTATTAAACAAAAATACCAACCACTCCAACACTATATCCCCCCCCCCTGCTTTTAACATTTCTGTCATGATCCCATCAGTTCCAGCTGCTTTACCCCCTTTCATTCTACGTAATGCCTCACGCACCTCTCCTACACTCACATCCTGTTCTTCTTCACTCCTAAAAGATGGTATACCTCCCTGGCCAGTGCATGAAACTACCGCCTCCCTTTCTTCGTCGACATTTAAAAGTTCCTCAAAATATTCTCGCCATCTACCCAGTACTTCCACCTCCCCATCCACTAACTCCCCTACTCTGTTTTTAACTGACATATCCATTTGTTCTTTAGGCTTTCTAAACTTGTTTAACTCGCTCCAAAAATTTGTTTTATTTTCATTAAAATTTCTTGACAGTGCCTCTCCCACTCTATCATCTGCTCTCCTTTTGCACACTCTCACCACTCTCTTCACCTTTCTTTTACTCTCCATATACTCTACTCTTCTTATAACACTTGTGCTTTGTAAAAACCTCTTATAAGCTAATTTTTTTTTTCTTTTATCACACCTTTTACTGCATCATTCCACCAATCACTCCTCTTTCCTCCCCCCTCAGGGAAGGTTCCTTGATGTTGGTGAGGGGCTCTTGATTTAGGGAATTGGATCTGTGCTCCAGTTCCCCGAATTAAGCCTGAATGCCTTCCACCTCCCCCCCAGGTGCTGTATAATCCTACGGGTTTAGCGCTTCCCCTTGATTATAATAATAATAATAATAATCCTCTTTCCTCCTGCACCCACCCTCCTATAACCACAAACTTCTGCCCCACATTCTAATATTGCATTTTTAAAACTATTCCAACCCTCTTCAGCCCCCCCCCCCCCCACTACTCATACTTGCACCAGTCCACCTTTCTGCTGATAGTTGCTTATATCTTACCCGAACTTCCTCCTCCCTTAGTTTATATACTTTCACTACCCTCTTACCTGTTGTTGCCATTTTCCTCTTATCCCATCTACCTCTTACTCTAACTGTAGCGACTCCTCAATAATGATCCGATATATCAGTTGCCCCTCTATAAACATGTACATCCTGGAGCCTACCCATCAACCTTTTATCCACCAATACATAATCAAACAAACTACTTTCATTACATGCTATATCATACCTTGTATATTTATTTATCCTCTTTTTCATAAAATATGTATTACTTATTACCAAACCTCTTTCTACACATAGCTCAATTAAAGGCTCCCCATTTTCATTAACCCCTGGCACCCCAAATTTACCTACTACTCCCTCCACAACATTTTTACCCACTTTAGCATTGAAATCCCCAACCACCATTAACTCTCACACTTGGTTCAAAACTCCCCACGCATTCACTCAACATTTCCAAAAATCTCTCTCTCTCCTCTACACTTCTCTTTTCTCCAGGTGCATATACACTTACTATAACCCACTTTTCACATCCAACCTTTATTTTACTCCACATAATCCTTGAATTAATACATTTATAGTCCCTCTTTTCCTGCCACAGCTTATCCTTCAACATTATTGCTACTTCTTTAGCTCTTACTCTATTAGAAACCCCTGACCTAATCCCATTTATTCCTCTCCACTGAAACTCTCCCACCCCCTTCAGCTTTGTTTCACTTAAAGCCAGGACATCCAGCTTCTTCTCATTCATAACATCCACAATCATCTCTTTCTTATCATTTGCACAACATCCACGCACATTCAGACTTCCCACTTTGACAATTTTCTTCTTATTCTTTTTAGTAATTATTACAGGAAAAGGGGTTA